TACCTTGGAAAGTCTGATCTGGCCACAGTGGTCCAGGCTCTGGTCACATCCCAAATAGACTACTGCAACACACTCTACATGGGGTTTCCTTTGAAGACTGTTCGGAAACTTCAACTAGTCCAACGGGCAGCAGCCAGATTGCTCACCGGAGCGACATACAGGGAGCCTACCACCCCGCTGTTGTGCCAGCTCCACTGGCTGCCGGTCCATTTCCGAGCACAATTCAAAGTACTGGTTTTGACCTATAAAGCCCTATATGGTTCCAGCCCAGCTTACTTGTACAAACGTATCTCCCTCTATGTTCCATCCTGTAGTTTAGGATCATCCGGGGAGGCCCTGCTCTCGGGCCTGCCAACTTCACAAATGTGTTTGGCAGGGACGAGGGACAGGGCCTTCTCGGTGGTGACCCTCCATCTGTGGAACTCCCTTCCCAGCGAGATTAGATCGGCATCATCCCTCCTTTCTTTTAGGAAGTAATTAAAATCATGGTTTTGGGTCCAGGCCTTTGGACAACAGATATGAAAGCACTTTGGATGTGGAGCTGGACTGGATGTGACTAGTGGCTTGATTATAATTTTTTAGATTGTTACTGTTTTTCCTGTTTAAACTCTGTTATCTTTATTGTATCTGTTTTTACATTTCGGAATTGAATTGTTGTCAGTGTAAGCCGCTCTGAGTCCCCCCACAGGGGTTGAGAAGGGCGGGGTTGAAATGTTAAAAATGAATAAAATAAATAAATTACTAAACATATACTTTGGTGTGTTATCTTTATTTCTGATTCTTTGTGTCCTTTTCACCTCTTGCAGCTGGCCCCGGTAACCGCTTGGCCCCCACCGCTCCCACAGCCCTAAGAGCAGGGCTTCCTCTCTTTTCTCCCCAAAATATAAACCTCCTTCACCCCAACTAACCCTGAGTCAACCCTTGCCCCGTGGGTACCCCGGCTTCCATGATTTTGTGGCCCAGTATCCACAGACCCCTTTATGCGTGTAATGTATAACATTTTATGTTTTATATCTACATTTTTGGAGATATGAAGCCGCCGTTCAAGACTCTGGTAATCTATCACTGGCACCTCTTGACCCTGGAATTCTCTCCAGTGTTTTCCTGGTCATCACCTCAACAATGGACTCAAGCACCCATCATCTCTTGAACCAAGCCAGCTTTATTGGTTTCCATAAAACCGACTGTATAAAGCATAACAGTGATTGAGTCACCCTTCCTTTGTGCAGCCACATGGGACACAAAACGGACACTAATCACCTGGCACTCTTCCCTGATACCGGGAGATCTTGCCCCTTCACCTTCCCATGGATGGATCATTGTATCCCATCATCTTAAACCAGATCTTGCTATGGAAAACATTGGACACTAGTGCAGAGTCACTAGACTCACATGCCAGGGGCTCATTAGGACAATTACCAAAGCAATAAAACTCAAATGACCCTCTTTGTTCGTTTCAAGATTGAAATACTGTTATTCACTCAGGAAATTATGTATTTTGTCTCACAGGTCATACTGCCCCGTCAGCCATTGGAGAGCTGAAATCTGCCTTGGAAGTGGGTAACACTTCCTGATTGGCTGGCAGGTGTTGCAGTCCCGCATCATAGAGGAAATGCTCCCAGCTGCTTGTGACATCAAGACCGTCTCCACCAATCAGCGCAAAGCCAGCTCAGATGGGCATGTGTGCGAAAAAAGGTTGTACTGTATAAAAATGTGTGTTTTATTCTTGCAAAAGAGGTCAGCTTCTTTGAGTGGCGTACTGCTGGCTGGCATGCCTCTGGCTGGATTGAATAAAATATCTCGGTGGCTTCTGCTTCAACTGGTGAGATTTTTGTTTTGGGGAAGATTGGGTTTTAGCTTTAACTCTCATGAGGCACGGACTCAGCAGCCTAGTGCCGTATCTAGCTATCATCTTGTTGGGTTTCAGTATCCATGTGCTGGGTTTCACTATCCGCGGTCTGGATCTCACTATCTGCGAACCGCTCTACATTGCTTGATTTCATCTTGTCCTCACTTCACCTTGCTCTAGGAACAGCCCCTTTATCGAAGATTTCTGTCTTGGTTTCCAAACAGGAAAATATGTTCTCCACTTATGCATCTGAATGATAAGCTGTGGGCAACGGTGAATGCATAAGTCTTCATAGCATTGCCAGGAGCTGTCTCTAGGTTTCTGGTTTTTGCCTAATCTTGAACTGTCAACCCTACAGCAGCTCCCAGTATTATAGCTCAAGGAATATCAATCCCGTGTGTTAGAAATGATTGCGCTTCTTGGTCTCCAGCCCCAGAGACCCGTGGAGTGCAGTGGGGACACATCTCTGCAGGGCATAATAAAAAGTCATGTCATTAGCAGTGAACACCCCAGAGACCCGTGGAGGGCAGTGGGGACACATCTCTGCAGGGCATAATAAAAAGTCATGTCATTAGCAGTGAACAGGTTGACCTCGTTTTTGGCCCGGAAACCCTGCGCATCTGGAGACAATTCTAAGGGAGTGGGATAGAGCTTATTAACCCCCCCCCCCAAATCCTTTTTCAACAGTCCTTACTGAAGCCCAAACACTTTCTGACACACAAACCCATTAAAACAGAAGCCCAGGGACCCACTGAGTGGACAAAAGGCACCTCCTGCTGTCTTTGTGTGCTCTTCCCAGTCTCATTAATTCCTTTTCCACCCTGTCCTTTTGCTTTCTCTCTCCCAGGCAGCCACTTGCAGTCAGTGTTTCCCATGCTGTCTCAAGTAATCTGTGACTAATGAACACCCAAGCCGAGAACTTCACTGGCAACCAGTTATCTCAGGAAGGATTGGAAAGAGGGAGATCTTGGCAATGCTGAATCTGCAGCAGCCCTGTGTCTGATAACCCTCCTTGAGCCTGCTGCTTTGTATTACTATTGGATCACAATGCCTGCTATCCTTGGCTGTACTGTGGCTTCTGAAATTAATCTTTGTTAACTGTATCATGATGTCATTGAACATGATTCTCTCGAATGGTCCTTTGACACACTTAGGGAATCCTGAAATCCAAAATACCCCAAAATCAGAAATTGTTCACAGGGTGTCTGGCACAGTAAAACTTTTGCTTTTTAATGGTTCAATGTACACAATTTTTTCATGTCCCCAATTATTAAAAATATTCTATGAAATTGCCATCAGACTAGATGGATAAGGCATCCAGTGTTCCCTCACTTATTGCTGGGGTTAGGTTCCAGGACCTCCCACAATAAGTAAAAAACCGCAATGTAGGGATGCTCTATTTATTTTAATATTTATACATTATTTTAGTATTTTAAGTCTTTATAAACTTAAAATAAAGTCAAGGAAAGGAAGGAAAGGCCCTTTAAGGCTGGAGAGAGGGAGGACTGAGGAGGGAAAACACCTTGGAGAGCGGCGGCAAAACCCCACAAAACAGCGAAAATACCATGATATATATTTTAAATTAATATTTTTTGAAATCTACAAAACAGCAAGTCCGCAATAAGCGAACCGCAAAGTAGCAAGGGAACACTGTATAATGAAACAAGAACATTTTGTTTAAGCTTAGATCTCATCTTAAGAGATCTCATTATACAGGGTATTTCAAAATATTGCATTTGGCCCGGCCATAGGTTTTTAAATCCTTGCGTGTTATTATTTATATGTGATTTATATTAATTGCATTGTTTTATTTGCTTATTGCTTTTTGTTTTATTGATGTGTTATCAGGCTTGGCCTCATGTAAGCCACTCTGAGTCCCCTTGGGAGATGGTGGCAGGGTATAAATAAAGTTTTGTTGTTATTGTTGTTGTTATTATTATTATAAAACATTTGAAAGCATTATATCTCTGCAACAATAAACTGCTTATGAACGAAACTCATAGTCTTTGAAATGGTGGGGAAGAGTTTCCGCGAGGTGCCTGTCCCATAGCACAAACAGCTCCTGGACTCACCTATTCACAAGACACTGACAATGCAACATAAGACGTTTGCATCCTGCAATTTAGCAAAACTGAATCTGTAATTGCAGTGCAGTGTGCATTTCAACAGCCTTTTGACACTGATCTGCCAATGCCAAAGAGGATTTGTTGTTGGTATTGACAATTTGAAGAAACAGGATATTGCCATTGCGAAATTGTATGCATGCTTTGAAATTGTCTGTGTGTGTACCGGTGGAGCAATGGGTTAGGCCGCTGAGCTGCTGAAATTGCTGAACAAAAAGTCGGCAGTTTGAATCCGGGAAGCAGGATGAGCTCCCACTGTTATCCCCAGCTTCTGCCAACCTAGCAGTTTGAAAACATGCAAAGGTGAGTAGTTCAATAGGTAGTGCTTCAGCGGGAAGGTAATGGCACTCCATGCAGTCATGCCGGCCACAAGACCCAGTTCTTGATTATTAAGAAATGCAGTTATTGTTTATTATTGTAAATTTGTGATTTTGAGATTGCCTCCCAAGCTCTGAATTCTTTACAGCCACATCACACAGCACCTCATGTTCTGCTCGCTATTAAGCTGATGATCAACTTTGGTATCCTGTTTGTTTTTGGATGCTCTGCTATATTTAGGGTAGTTTTCCCTTACAGGAAGGTCAAGGAAGATAAATTATTCTGAAATGTGGTGCTGGAAGAGAGTTCTATGAACACCGTGGACTGCCAAATAATTGGGTCGGAGAGCAAACAGAGCCTAAACTTTTACTACAAGTCAATGTCTAAACTGAGATTTTGGACATGTAATGAGAAAATATGACTCATTAGAAAAAAACACTAGTGCTTAGTAAAGTGAGAGGCAGCTGGAAAGAGGAAGATTGCATTATGTGTGGATTGGACTCAATCCAGGAAGCCACAGACCTAAGAAGAGCTTCAGACAAGTTTTCTTATTCATAGGGTCACCATAATTGCAGCCCATTGTATGGCAAACAACAACAAACCTAGATAAATCTGGAAAACAGGACTCACCTCCATCCTCTTTCTCTGACATTTTTAGCAGTTGAAGAAAAGTCATACAGAGAAGGGGAACACACAGTGCCAGCACTGAGTGGCTTTAATTTACATCTTTAATTGTGCATTCACTTGTACACCACATTAGACCGTTCACATGATCAAAGACTGTATATAACGCCATTCCCTGTGACTCCCTTGACATATAGTAGCTGGACCCAAGGAGTCCCATTTCACATTTTTTCCTGGCTAAAGAAATAATCATATCAGTTACACAGTGCTCCACAAATGTACCATCTTTAAAAAAAAATAAGAAGGAAAAGAAAGAGAAAAAGAGAGAAAGAGTGCGTGTTAGTTTAGTGCCGCTCCTGAGCGCTACAACCAGACGTGGAGACCGTGCCCTGGAATGTTAGTGGGCCAGGGCTCTACCCAAAACCCACATTTGGTGGATTCCCCCCAACCCAAAAGGATGTGGGAGATGCGGTTCTACAAGATGGAGTGCTTCTCAAAGGGAATCGTCAACTCCTTTGCAGCTGTCTCATCCAAAAACCAATACAGCTTCCCAGTATGAGGCTGGACAAGGGCAGCTGGCAGCGGGTTTTCCTCATCGCCTTCCAAAATACGCTGTTCAGAGAAAAAGAAGGTTAGAACCTGATATCTCTAGAGTTTGTACAGGATATTCAGAAAGTCCAGGTGTTTCTGTTACCCTCTCATCACAAACACACGTTTCCAAAACTTGCAATTATTTTGTTCTGAGGGTTGGTTGCCATTGTCTTCCTCTGAGACTGAGAGAGTGTAACTTGCCACAGTGGGTTTCCATAACTAAGCAGGGATTCAAACCCTTGTATCCCAAAATTCAAATCGCTAGACCACATTGACTTTTTTCAGCAGTGCCTTGACATCAACTGAACTCAAAAAAGCACTTTGATTCCAGATGATTGATAAACACTTGGAAATACAGTGGCTTGAAAGCAAACAATGTGCTTTAAACCTCATGCCTAACAATCTGCCATTGTAAATGCATGAGTGACAGTCAATTTTTAAAAAAGATACATCAGTATGTATTTTCTTCAGCTGTAAGAAATTTTGCAAATATAGAGAACAGCTGATGAAAACTCAAAAGAGCATGGGGAGGATAGTTAGAAGGGGACTCTAATCAACCCATTTCATGAACCAGGGAGGGAGCCTACTAAGGCCGCATCACTAGTTCCCCTCCACTGCTTGGGAGGTAGAATGCCAATGGATGAATCCCCAAAGGCCTTCCTGCAGGTGTATATACAAGGTTTTCCATTTATACATTTTAAAGTATGTATTGATGGATTTTAATATGTATTTGTTTTGGATGCTCTTTCAACAGATGTTTTATGTTATGTTATTTGTTTTTGTTTCTTATCTTGATACACAGGAAAAGGCAAGAACAAATTATTTATTTAATTATTTATTTACTGTATTTATATATCGCTTTTCTCACCCCTGGGAGCAACTCAAAGCGGTTTACAACAAATAATGGCAAAATACAATGCCTCACATATGTAAAAACAAAATCATAAATCTAAACAAAACATATAACTATCCATAAATTCAATAAGACAATTAAACCTAAGATAAAACAACATTTAGACATGAAAACATAAAAATTAAAACCACTTAATAACAACATTTAAATCACATGATTGAAGTGTCTGGTTTTACCATTTAAGTGGGCCACTTCTGCAGCAGTCCCTTTCAGAAAAAGCCATCTAAAAGGAAGCAATTTACCTTTATCACAGCAGCCTTGCTATCTCCAGTGGCAACGAACACCACGCTCCTCGCAGCATTCAGCACCGGGAGGGTCAGGGTGATCCGCTCCGGAGGTGGCTTTGGAGAATCGCTAATGGCAGCCACTATCTTCTCCCGCTCCTGCTCCGGGAAGGATATCAAACACAAGTAAGGAGAGAGGAATAACAGGTATTACGGTATCACCACATTGCCAAAGTGACAAGATATTATTTCAGCCAAGCCACTTGCTGCATCTCAGAGGCCCACGATTTTTACTTGGCAACCGGTAAACTGGGCTGCAACGGAGAAGCGTATAAGGACCAAAAAGAAATAGGGAGAATGTCAGCTCATGAACCAGAGAGGGAAACTTTGCTGTTCTTGTTGCATATAAACAAGAGAAGGCTCCCCACAGCTCTTCTGCTGGGCTCACCTGCAAGAGGGGATGATCTGGGAAGAGTGAACAGGTATGTCCATCCGGCCCCACTCCCAAGATCAAGAGGTCAAACACAGGCATATCGTCACCCTGGAAGGCCTGCAGGACAGAGACACAACCAAGAATGAAAAACAATTATGCTTATCTGTCTGATTTTATGCACACAAATATTTTCAATACACATTTATTGGGTGGGGGAGATGAACTGCACTTCAAAAATAAATTCACATCTGCAAAATTACAAATCTGTGGGGTACACATTCCCAGACTTGGTGGAAATACACAAGGTTACAGATAATGATGGACCCAATTGAAATGAAGGACTTCCAGCCCATAAATGCCATAGAGTCATCCTGGAAGAGCAAGAAAATGCCTAGATAGGATATATTTTGTTGGAAATGGATCAATGAAACTGTGTGTCCGAGACCCACACATATGGAGATGACACTATATAAGAATAGGATAGGTGTGCCTTTTAAAAAATCAGGCCAGAGTGATAAAAAGCCAGAAAAAAGATTAAGAATTCTTTGCCTGGCATAGGAGAATCAATAAATCAGGATCCAGGCAATTAATTCCTTGGGATTCATTTGCTCAAATGAGGATATGGTTCAATAGAGCTCCTGATATCAGTCAAGAGATCAAGGGAGATGTAACTCAGCAATATCTGAACATCACTTTCCTTCATCCCTGTCTTACAGCAAATATGAGCAAAATATCAGCTTCATAGCACCTCCAGTGTTTCTCACTATAGCTTATGGCTGGCTAGAGCTGACGAGTTGCCATCCAACAACACTCTTCTATTTGAGGGATGACTGCACCTCTCCCACATTTTCGAAAAATGGCAACTTGTCACCTGTCGTGTTAGATGGGACAAGGGAGGGGGGAAGATATCTTTGGCCAGTGGAGATACACATTCCTGCAGTGCTCCAGAAGGCCTCTCCAGGAAGATTCAAGCAAGCGGCAGAAGAGCAGAACTCTTATATCCTAGCATTCCTTGTCTTTTCTTGCCTTGTGTGGCAATACAGGACGGTATTATGAGGTCATCACCTGAATCTTGCCCAGTAAACTCAACTTCATTTCAAAGGCAAAGAAAGCCACTCTGAAGGCAAATACGACAAACCCAGCTCCTTGAGACAGCGTCTTTCCATCCACAATTGCAAGGTGAACGATCATTGAAATGTTGGGCATCTTGCTATTGAGAGATGTATTTCTATGTTATTTCTTTTCAGAGGAATGTATTATTGTCTTAAAAGTCCTCCCTGCTCAGGTAATGAGCATTTTAAAACTATGAGGGAAAGAATTGGGAAAACCAGGAATATCCACAGGCTTTTGGAAGCATGACCCTTTTTGGAGATTAGTTAACATTCACACTATTTGGAACAATCATAACCTTTGAAAAGGCATGACCTTATTAGAGATCACAATCTTTTTGTAAAGGTTCCTGAGAAGAGTTAAAAACTCACTTGAGTCAACCTTCTCCTTAGTGGTAAATAACCACTAGTATTCATGCAAGGCAATTTAGACTTCTCAGTTGTTAGACTGATAATACCTGGCTATCTCTCTGAACTCTTAGGAACAAAGATATGCCAATGCATAAAATATATAGCAGATCTTCAGAAGCGTTATTTCAGTTGCCCAAAAATATATCTACTATGTATTTAACGTACAGGTACATTGCTTATTGGTTTCATGTTAACTGAATAATATATCAAATATACTATACTATACATCTACTGGCTGTACTATACTGTACTATGTATCTTCTGCAAACAGACACACATATATTAATTGAACATCTCACTGCAGCACACTGACTATACTCCTGCTCTGACACCAACCGACTCTACTGATATCTAACTTTCAACTGACTTAAGGCTCAACTGACTTCTAACTGACTTAACTGACTCCAACAGATTTCTGATTCAAACGCATTTTAAAATTTAGTCTCACTCTGAACATTCTAAGATCAGGGTCACATGGTTTGTAGTCCCTCCCACAACCTCTAACAAAACATAGAGTTAAGGGGAAAACTGCATACCAATATATACACACATAATATAATAAGGCTTGTAGAATGTTGCTATTTCCAATATAACGTAGGACTGGGAAAATACATGGGCCTATTTCATTGGATTGAAACATCCTGAATTGTATCCAACTCAGGTACAACGGATGGGAACTGCAGTTCAGCCACATCTGGACAGCCATAGGTTCTTGGCCCTGGAATTATAGATTTGGGGTATCAAACACCTAAGAAAATACTCCGAATTTTATATCGTATCTATTACCCATTTTGAGATATAGTTCACACTCCTATTGGACTATCCAATGTCCAGTACTTTGGAAATACTGTGAGGTACTGCAGGAGATAATTATTAGAGACCAATTCTATCACAAAGGGACACCGGTACACTTCCAATCATACCTCTTTCAGCTTTGCAGCATAATCTGCAGCTGCTTCTTCTACCGATAGTGAAGGGTTGATAACAACAATTTGGTCCTCAGGTACAGCAAGTTTGGGAAGGAGATATGTCTGAAACAAATAACAAGAAGTCACATTAGAGTAAGAAACCATAAACAGGCTTATCCTATAGACGCTTAGTCTGGGTCAACTTATCCATGGGTCAATATGAGTACTGAATTATTGAACTTGCCTCGCTTCGACTTCCATCCCCTTACTGACATTTAAATTATAAGTTCCTTGGGAATTAATACTTTTGATGCTTCACAAAAGGCCACCTGTTTTGTCAGCAGTAAAATATATTTGATAAATTTATCTAAATTTAGATAATGTATCTAAAACATGCAAATGTGAGTAGATCAATAGGTAACGGGGCACCATGCAGTTATGCCGGCCGCGTGTCCTTGGAGGCATCTATGGACAACGCTGATTCTTCAGCTTAGAAATGGAGGCGAGCACTAACCCCCACAGTTGGACACAACTAGACCTAATGTCAAGGGGAAACCTCTACTTTTTATCAAAATTTACCATATGTCACAACATCTCTGGGCAGAGATCAAATAAAAGAGCACAAAGAACTATTTTATGTTTTTTTAAAAAACGAAATAGGTGAGGCTTCTCATGTCTCAACATGTTGGTTGATTCAAAGGCTACTTGAATATATTGTTTACCTTTAAATACTTTGAGGGCAAATCATCAGTTGGAGGCAATGTTCCAAATTCTATGGAAGGAACAAAAAGCTCAAAGAGACTGTTATGGTTTCAGACCCTCTGATATTTCATAGATGGGTTCATACATGGCCAAGCAACATCAGAGTGTGGTCAAGATGGCAAAAGGTATGAATGAGGAAAAACAAACAAACTAGGTAGGTGAGGATGCACCAGTTTGTTTTTGTTTGAACCTACTGGGAAGAACAGGATTCTGCCTCTCTTCTTCCCTTTAACTGATTCAAATGAGTACAAATCATTCAGTTTGCAGCAACTAAAGTGAGCTGGGGACAAATGGAAGAACAAGATAAAAATCGAGACATTTTAAAATCAGATGAAAAATTGGGAGGACAGAGGACTAATTGGGTCTGCCTCTGTCAAGGTGGGACATTTGTGGGGATCACGGGATTTCTCTCCCTGGCTACTGAACTTTAGGCTCAGCAAGCATATTCAAGACCAATTCCCCATTGAATAGAGGGTGTATTTAACCTTATATATTACAAAGTTTTGACTAGACAGCAACACTGGACTAATCACCCAATTCTGAGCGAGGAAATGTCGGCTTAGGATTTACTGGTCTAGAGGGAGTTGGGCCAATTGTGAAAGGCATTTCCTAGGTCATTATGGAAAAATATCATCTCAGTAAACTCATGACAGGACAACCGTATTTTAAGTGTCACAGGATCCTAAGTTTTCACTACTAGGAAACCCCAAGGATTCTAGTGGACATGAGGAAAGACTATGTGACTGAAGTCAGCCCTACAATCCCAAAATCATTAAGCAGCAACTAGGAATATACAGAAGGGATATAGAAAATGCAGAGGATAGACCACTCATTTGTAGCCCATGCTTTTTCTATTCTGCTTTCATTTATAATCACTAGCTGACACACATTTTGGTGCCTCAAATGTTAGCTCTGTTCCTGGGTATATTTGACCTGCTGATTCCAAAAATGGCAACAGCTTCCCCCCTGTCTGCTCTAGTTTTCGAGATACAGAATATCTACTATTTGCCATCTGCTTGCCCATAGAAAACCATAATAACCATATATTAGAAACTAGAGCTGATGCAGTCTATACAATGCAATTTTCTGAATCAGTGCCCCAGATAATGCAGAAACAGGCCTACAAATCAAGACACAAGGAATTGTTTTCTTGGGGTACAATCAGTGGTTCTCAACCTGTGGGCCCCCATTTGGTTTGGCTTTCAACTCCCAGAAATCCTAACAGCTGGTAAACTGGCTGGGATTTCTGGGCATTGTAGGCCAAAACACCTGGGGACCCACAGGTTAAGAACCACTGGGCTATATAATCATAACTTTTTGAGAATGACCTTCCACCGTTTATTTGGGAGGAGAACTTCTATTTGTTTCAAACCTGGTTTCAGGGGCTCTTGCAAAAAATGTTGAGATAGGCTTTGGGATAAGTCTTGGGACAGGTTCAAGGAACTTATAAGCAAGATTAGAACGCCTTATCTGATAAAGAGAGCATAAGCCGACCCACTTCCTTTCTATATATAACTTAACTATAAACAAAGAACATCAGAGTATCGAGATTACACAGCACAGCCTAAAAATAAGTATACACCCTGAGTGGGTCAGAAATCAGGGGTGGTGGGGAATCTGCAATTATACACTCTTCAAGAAAACAAACAAAAACAAAATAAAACGTGAAAGAACAATACAATATTTAAAATGAAGAACAATTTTAACCAACATAAACATAATAGTATTTCAATGGGAAATTTTGTCCTTTTAGCTGATGAGATAGTCAAGTTAATTAAGATTGTTGTTGTTGTGAGCCTTCAAGTTGTTCCAGGCTTAGGGCGACCCTAACGCTAAAGTATAGGGTGTGTGCAGGTAAACGACCTTGGAGGGCCACATCGGGCCCACGGATCTGAGTTTGAAGACCCCTGATCTAAACAGACAATATTAATTTCTATCTGAAAAAAAAAAATAGTTGCTTTTCTGAAGTACAATATAAACCAGGGGTCCTCAAACTAAGGCCCGGGGGCTGGATACGGACCTCCTAGGTCATTTACCCGGCCCTCGCTCAGGGTCAACCTAAGTCTGAAACAACTTGAAAGCAAACAACAACAATCCTATCTCTTCAGCCAAAAGCAGGTCCCCACTTCCCATTGAAATACTAATAAGTTGAAATTTGTTAAAATTGTTTTTCACATTAATTATTGTATTGTTTTAAGTGTTTTTTGCACTGCAAATAAGATACGTGCAGTGTGCATAGGAATTTGTACATGTTTTTTCCAAATTATAATCCGGCCCTCCAACAGTTTGAGAGACTGTGACCTGGCCCCCTGCTTAAAAAGTTTGTGGACCCCTGATATAAACAGTCAAAATCTCAAGAAAAAGAACGGAGTAAACATGTTTGCTGTCCAAAACAAAATCAAAGAATACCAGGGCATTAGGATTATAGTTTAAAATGAAGTGCTGTACATAAAGCGAAATGAGACCATACTGAATATAGGTTGATTATCCTTTAATGCTAAATGCAAAATCTCAAATAGTCCACAAGGGAGGCTGAGATTGTGACACTTGTGCTTGCTGATGGTTCAATGTAAACAAAGTCGGTTTGATTCAAAAATATTTAGAAATACTGATTATAAAATAACCTTCAAGTTATGTGTGTATACGATCTGAAACATAAATGAATAAATTTTAAAACATCAAGATTTTAAAACATCAAAGTACGGTATACTTTGAAGCAACTGGCCAAAAATAAATCTAATTAGGCTTTTAAAGAAGACTGTTTGTAAGATCATGTCGGGGGTGTTGAGTTTATATGTTTTATGGATTTAATCTCAATTGTTTTAAATACTAATAATAGAATCATTGAGTTGGAAGAGACCTTGCAGGCCACCCCCCCCCCCCCCCCCCCCGCCAAGAAGCAGGAAAACTGCATTCAAAGCACCCCCGACAGATGGCCATCCAGCCTCTGTTTAAAGGCCTCCAATGAAGAAGTCTCCACCACACTCCGGGGCAGAGAGTTCCACTGCTGAACGGCTCTCACAGTCAGGAAGTTCTTCCTAATGTTCAGGTGGAATCTCCTTTCCTGTAGTTTGAAGCCACTGTTCCACATCCTAGTATCCAGGACAGCAGAAAGCAAGCTTGTTCCCTCCTCCCTATGACTTTCCCTCACATATTTATACATGGCCGTCATGTCTCTGCTCAGCCTTCTCTTTCACAGGCTAAAAATGTCCAACTCTTTAAGCCGCTCCTCATAGGGCTTGTTCTCCAGACCCTTGATCATTTTAGTGGCCCTCTTCTGCCTGTCAACATCTCCCTTCAAGTGCAGTGCCCAGCACTGGACACAGTGTAATCCAGGTGTGGAACTAAACAGTTTAATACTGTTTTAACATTTGTATATTTGTATTTTTAAATTGCATGCTGCTGTTTTATGTTAAGCTGCTTTGAGTCTCCGGTGGGAGAGATAAAGAGGGGTATAAATGAATATTATATTAATTTGGTACTAGTTCTGTGATGTGCTTTACGTTGGACTATCTTTGTTCCAAGTTTGGAAACTCCAGCTGATCCAAAACACGACAGACAGATTGGTTACAGGAAGATTTGAGTTGGAAGTGAGCACATTACACCTATCCTAAAGTCACTTCCCTGGCTGTCAATTAGTTTCTGGACAAAATACAAGGTGTTGGTTTAGACCTTCAAAGCCCTATGGTTTGGCTCCAGGTTACCTAAAAGATTGCCTTCTCCTGTACAATGCACCCCAAATACTGAGGTCCTTTGGAGGGCATCTGCTCCCGTCTCCCAGAAACTGAATGACAACCACCACTGTGGAACAACCTGCCTGTAGAGCTCTGACTGCTTGATCAGCTGTCGAAATTTTAAAACCATGTAAAGATCTGTCTCTTCCCAGTCTTTAAGCCTATGCCATGTGTTTTGCTTTCTGTCCTGCGTATTTTACAGAAATGCTTTGATCTGTACCTTTTATGGAACTGAATTTTAATCTGTTTGTCAAATTGTTTTATCATTTGTGTGTTTTTAACTGTGCTGTGACCCACCTTGAGCTTTGAGAGAGGCGGGTGAGAAATCAAATTATTAGTAGTAGTATTAATGTCAAGGTTTTCCCCTTGACATTAAGTCCAGTCATGTCCGACTCTGAGGGGTGGTGCTCATCTCCATTTCTAAGCCAAAGAGCCGGTGTTGTCCGTAGACACCTCCAAGGTCATGTGGCCAGCATGACTGCATGGAGAACGCCCTATGAGGAGCGGCTTAAAGGAGCTGGGCATGTTTAGCCTGAAGAAGAGAAGGCTGAGAGGAGATATGATAGCCATGTATAAATATGTGAGAGGAAGCCACAGGGAGGAGGGAGCAAGCTTGTTTTCTGCTTCCCTGGAGACTAGGACGCAATGGCTTCAAACTACAAGAGAGGAAATTCCATCTGAACATGAGAGCCGTTCAGCAGTGGAACTCTCTGCCCCGGAGTGTGGTGGAGGCTCCTTCTTTGGAAGCTTTTAAACAGAGGCTGGATGGCCATCTGTCAGGGGTGATTTGAATGCAATATTCCTGCTTCTTGACAGAATGGGGTTGGACTGGATGGCCCATGAGGTCTCTTCCAACTCTTTGATTCTATGAGTGCTGTTACCTTCCCACTGGAGCAGTACCTATTGATCTACTCACATTTGCATGTTTTCAAACTGCTAGGTTGGCGGAAGCTGGGGCTGACAGAAGCTCACCCCACTCCCCGGATTCCAACCTGCGACCTTTCGGTCAGCAAGTATAGCAGCTCATTGGTTTAACATATGTTTAATAGGAACTCTCAAGCAATCTTTTCATTACAATACTGTAATTCAGTATTAACATCAAGCCAAGACGGCGTTTATGTTATGGGTGGAGTATGCAGTATGGCAGTAATTAGGCTTAGGCTGAATAGGAACTCTCAAGCAACCAGAAACCACATTAATCTGTGCCGGTTCACTGAGAGCCGACTGTATGCAAATGCAGGTGTTCCTAAACCCAAGGCAGTTCTGTTTCCCCAGCCTCTGGGTGAAGGGAGGCCCAGGGTGGCTCCCCGCTGCCCTCGAATGCTTTTCAAAGGCGGCCAGGCGGGCCCCGGTCCCGCCAACGCCCTTCTTCCCCCGCCCGCCGGCCCACCTTGTAGGCGCCGAAGGTGCTCTCGGGGTGGTCGAGGGGGACGCGGCGCTCGTCGACGAAGGCCAGGAGCCACCGGGAGGGGTCTGCGGCGGCGGGGGGCAGCTCCTGGGCCAGGAGGCGCACCAGGCTGCCCCCCGAGAGGCCCAGCGAGAAGCGCCCGGGCCCGGACTGCGCCTCCCGCTGCGCCACCAGCTGCGCCAGGGCCGAGCCCAGCTCCTGCGGCGAGGGAAACACCGACACCTGCGGGGAGGCCGAGGAGGAGGAGGCGGCCGCGGAAGAGGAGGCCGGCCCGCCACCGCGCCGAGGCACCGACGAGCCGGGCATGGCGAGCGAGAGAGCGGGCGGAGAGCGGGCGGGAAGGGGAACTGAAAGGCCGGGCCGCGGCGCCCGGGGGGACCCATGGCGGCGAAGGGAGCAAGGCCGGGCGGAAGTGACGGAGGAGGCGGGGCACCAACGCAGGGACCTTCGTTTCAGCTATGCACCAGGCCCCAGGAAGGCAGGCAGAGGCGCGGGCGGAAGTGACGCAGGAAGGCACAGCCCGAATCATTGTGTGCAGTACTAGACCCCAGGAAGGGAGGAGGGACGGGGAGGAATAAAGGGGATCTTGGGTTGCTCTGAGTTTATCGGCTATATGGCCATGTTCCAGTAGCATTCTCTCCTGACGTTTCGCCTGCATCTGTGGCAGGCAACTTCAGAAGATTTGATGGTAGTCAAGCGAGTGGAGAATCTATATAAATAAAAATGTAATGTTTGTTTGTTTGTTAGATTAACATAACACAAAAACCACTGGGCGATTTGTCGCCAAATTTGGCCACAAGACACCTACTAACCCGAGGAGTGACCATCACTCAAAAAATTGAGTTTGTCATTTGGGATTTGCAGTTGCTGGGATTTATAGTTCACCTACAATCAAAGAGCATTCTGAACTCCACCAATGATGGAATTGAACAAACGTGGCACACAGGACTCCCATGACTAACAAAGAATACTAGAAGGGTTTGGTGGGCATTGATGTTGAGTTTGGGAGTTGTAGTTCACCCACATTCAGTGAGCACCGTGGACTCAAACAATTATGGATCTGGACCAAACTTGGCATGAGTACTCAATATGCCCAAGTAGGAACACAGATGGAGCTTGGGGGAAATAGACTTTGACATTTGGTAGTTGTAGTTACTGGAATTTATAGTTCATCTACAATTAAAGCATTCTGAACCCCACAAACAATAGAATTGGGGCAAACTTCCCACACAGAACCCCTATGACCAAAATAAATACTTAAGGCCATCCCGTCCAACTCCCTTCAGGGAAAGAAAATGCAATCAAATAGTTTACCCACAAGCATAAATAAATTACATATATTTAAAACCAACACTTTCTCATTACTTTATTATCCAGATCACCAGACTGCCACAGCAAGGCGTGGCAGGGGATGGCTAGTATATCTATATATCTATAAATAAATATGTAATGTTTGTTTGTGGGATTAACATAACTCAAAAACCACTGGGCAAATTGACACCAAATTTGGACACAATACACCTATCAGGTCAACAAGTGACCATCACTCATAAAAACACTGAAAAATACAGCGGAAGAGACTTAAAAAGCCAAAAAACAAAAACTATTGTCACGAGATAAATGGAACTTCCCTCTTCTGGTGCATGGGATAGTTTCAACTGAGAGTCCTTTGTAAATCTCCCTTAAAACTCCAAGCGAGAACTCCATTAAGAAACAGTAGGTATATAATAAAGGAAACATATAATGGAAGTTCAATATCCATATTGCCACAGAGACATTGTGAGGTAGGTCCTCTCAAACTGGGGAAAGGAGGGAAGAAAGAAAACGGAAGGAGGGAGGGAGGGAAGAAAGAAGGAAGGGAGAAAGGAGGAAGAGAAAGGAAGGGGAAAGTTATGCTGGGAGGGAAAAAGAAATAAGCGGAGATGGAAATAGGGGGACAGCGGCCCCTCTGACAGCCAGGCAAGGCTGCGTAGATACAGTAGTTACTAATAAATTGCATTAGAAAATGTATACCCGAGTAATGCCAGGTAGATAAACTAAGCATTAATAAATTGCTGTCCTGAGTCTCACTCTCGGCCTCAGAGATACATGCAGACAATCCCCTTTAAAATGAAATCTGAAATTCCTGCCTGAGGTTTTGACTTTGAGTCACTCTCTCAGCCTCGGAGGCAGGACTGGCAGCCCTACAAATTATTTATTCTTTAAAAGGACACCTCTTTTAAAATATACATCTTCATTACATAAACTACTTTTATCTGAGGTGGCTGTCTCTTCTGTGCCCTTTAGGGCCAAGCACTTTTATCTATATACTGCCCTCCAACAGCCCTTTCTGCTGATATTGGTGTGTAGGCCTTCTGAGGCCTGTCTTAGAATGTATCAATGGCAGTGCTCTACTGGCCTCTTGTGATTGCTTCTGGGCACTGCAATGTGTGTCTCAATGGCCAGCAATTGTGAGGGTGGCCTCTTGTGGTTGCATCTGAGCACTACGTGTGCCATATAATTTTTAAGTTATGGGGACCCTAGCTCCAAAAGGTGTTTTTTTAAATTGAAACCCCACCAGTATTTTAAGTTGGCCCATGAAAGGTTTGTGTACCAAGTTTGGTCTTGATCCATCAAGTCATGTAGGATGTTTTATGAAACAAACATCTTTTTTTTGCTTATATATATAGATCTATGTTGTAATCTCTTATTAAGGGAGATAAAGTAATATTATTCCTCCCTGTAGTGTTGTATTTACCATGTAATGTTGTTTGTATCATGTAATGTGTAATAGAGATTAAGAGTTAAGAAATCAGACATCTTGAGAAGGACATCTATGAAAGAATGCGACAAGATCCTGAAGCGAAAACTGAACACTAAAGTGAAGATTGTCCATGACATTAAGATCTCCCTGGGATGGGGTGAGAAATTGATGTTGGTAACTAGGGTTGGCCGCATGAGGAAGAACTGGCATTTCCCCCTCTCTGCAGAATGACCATCGACTTAGCTATTCTGTCATATCAAAATTCAGTGCCTTCCTTTGATTTATACATAAGGTTGGCTGATTCACAAGCATATGTGATAAATTTCATGGGGAAATAATGAGAAAGGTATCTGGGAACTTCAGCTGCAAACTCATGGGAGCACACATCAAGCTTCCTTTAAAAACAATGACAAGAACAGAAGTAAGCTGTCCCCAGAGAAATGTTTACGCTTTTCATCTTAGCACTTAGCTATAAAATATGCAGTTGAAAATATAAAGAGTTGTCTGTACTCAGTTTCCATACTTAAAATGAAGCCATCCAAGTTGCATACTCATTTTGGACAGAAAGTCCCCCATCTTCGTCTCAGGAAGATAATTCTTTGTGACATCCTTGAATACCCCTAAGAGCACATATTTCTGTTCTCACGCCTGAGATCCGTTTTGCACTCTCTGTCCCTTTTTCAGCTAGAGCAAAACAACACGCACACATGCACTCTAACCTTAAGGTCTATGTGGCTGACCCATTCAGGGTGAACAGACACAAGAGCTGATTCCACATTTAGTTGTGACCCTTCTGCTCAGTTAGTTCCATCCATTGGTTTAAAAAGCATTTCACAGAAAAGAAGTAAGGTTGACTAAGATGGAAGATTGACCTCAACACTTAAAAGACATTGCAGCCAAATACACTGAAGAGTCTATGTGTATGTGAGAGAGAAAATACACATACATACGCAGGAAATATAAGATGTGCTTTCAAGGTGAATTTATTCTTTTAACAGTTCTCCAAAACAAAGTTATATTTTGAACATAGTGACCGCATCTGAAAATGTAACTTTGCTTCAAATAACCAAGTTAGTCAGTGCATGATTTCATTCAAATCAGGAATGAATTACATTAAAAAAATACTATTACCTTTTTTCTCCAAACAGTGGGGCTCAGTTAGGTACAGGTGCCTTTGTTTTAACCAACGGTTAATGATACTGCTAAGTTTATTACAAATATTAATCTGTTTTGTTTAGTTCTGATGAGAAGTTATAAAAGGCACATTCTGGGTCTAATAAAAAACAGGGTCAGACACCCCACTGGTTTCTCAACTGTTACCTAGAAATGACTTTTCTAGCAGTGTCCATTTAGTAATACAACACAGCGTTGTTCTGCAGAGGTGTTTGTAAAACGCCTTTATGCAAAGTTCTATTCCTGCCCCAAATGAGGAAAAGTTCATTAGTCACAACTACAGTGGTTCAGGGCACAGAAAGATATGAACTAGAACATTCTAACCATGTTAAATAATGAAATCAGTAAGTCTTCCTAGGATATCCTAGGAATATCTGCACTGGCAGTGATATAGTTCTGTGCTCAGTGATAATGGACATCAACATGATCACAAGGGTTACAGCATCTTTGAACATGTGGCCACACAGACAACTCAACACTCCCTTTTATCTTCTTCTTGTCAAAAATGGATAGTCACAATATTAGAAATTAAAAATACCTGCAATCTTGTCCTAACAGGAGGTGAATAGTGTGAATGGTATGAGGCACATTGTCTGGTCAGTTGACATGACTCCTACGCAGGTCAAATTAGGAAGCCTAAACATGGTTCATGAAGTTATCAAACCTTTTCCCAAGATTTTGGATCAGCTACAAACAATTATTTGAAATAACAAAAGAAACGGCATAAGAACTGCAATTTAAACCAATGTGAGTAGGCAGAGAAATTGAAGACAAATAATGAGCTGATGTTTTGTCGATGTTCACACTCCTTCGGCAATACCAAGGACATGTTAGGCTTTTTTCTGCACAAATTTGTTTCGGCTTTAACATCCATAAAACACCCACATTGTTATTTCATCAATATTAGTATGTTATTGATGTTTTTTAAGAGACCAAAGACTGCAGTTGGAAGATGCTGTATTTTGACAAGTCAGCTAGTCCATTAAAATCTCATATAAACCTAGGGCAGATCTCATAGTGGAGACAACCAAAGGACTAAAGAATCTCGAAATCCTAAAAAAATTAGGCTGCTGCCTCAAAGTACTGAAACTCAAGTCAACAGACACAGCAGTTTGCTGCCTGAATGGTGTTTTTGGAGGCTCAGCCACACCCATTAATACTGAGGGTTTTAAAATAATAAACCCTTCCTGTTTCATACTGAGTCCCCCAATGTAATGGTTATGAAGATGAAAAACACCATTCTAAGAACTGAAAAATAGAAAAGGGACCTTTGCTTAGGAAATAGCTATGGTGTCTTTTTAAAAAATGGGGAGTGGAGTGAGGGCTACTTCCACACCACCATAGGTTTTGCCTCAGTTGTGTAGGTTGGGAATAAAAACCTTGCTTCACTTATTAAGACAAGTCTGTTTGCCTACGCAAGCAGGGCCCTCTGGCATCAATTTCCTCTTCCGTAGCCTTTGACGATGAACTCACAGAGACACCTTCCCGGCTTGTATCCTTTCAAACAAACACTCGTCCACTTGCAAGTATTTGCCAAGCTTGACATCCAAGAAATATAACCTATCCGATGTCTGATGTGGGTTGTAGCCTTCTCTTTGCAAACGGGTCTTCTGAATTTTGAAAGTGCCTATTAAAAAAACAAATGAAAAAGGTCTATTAGAAGAAGAAAAAAGAAGGCAGAGAAAACATTTTTAAAAACAAATATTTCTAATGTTAAAACTGTGGAAGGGGAATTGTGAGTTACTTAAGAGGTGAACAGCTGCTCCCAGAGAAGAAGCAATTCTTCCTGTTTACCAGTAAAAGTAGTTGAGGGCCACAAACACAGGCCTGGGAGTATGATGTAACCCCAGGACTACATTTTGCTAATTTATGTTGCAGTGCAGATTTGAAGATTAATATGTTTCAGAACGTTTCCATTGTTATCCTACTTTAAAACGTAAACAGTCTTGAATCTGAATCCCTTAATGAATCTACTAGAAGGTTAGGCTTTTATAGATTGTTTAATCTTTACTCTGAAGTTGTATTTTTCTTTCCTAATATTATGTACAAACATGCTGCACCTTTGAAAAAAGCAAATAAAAAATTAAACAAGATAACCATATTGATCGGAGCTTATAAAACAGGGGTACTTCAAAAATAGACATGTGGCACTCGCATTTTAATCTGGAAAAGGGATGGTGGTGGGGGAGTCACTTTTTATCAAGCTGATTCATATTTAAGAAACATCATATGCTTTGAAACAGCAAGGATTAGAATGGTGCCAGGAGAAATGGAAGCACGTAATAAGGGCTGCATCGACTGCTGTTTTGAAGTATGCAAGTCTTTTACAGCAGGCTGGTGAGCCTACCACCTTTCAGATACTTTTGAGACTAAGGGTGCATCTACACTGCAGAATTAATGGAGTTTGCCTCGATTTTAAATGCCATGGCTCAATGCTATGGGATCACGGGGAGTGTTAAGTTGTAAGTATTAGCTGGGGACACATGGTTGATTTATGCTGGGTCCTTGGCCTTTACTGTCAAAGAGAGCAGGTGCCTTTCAATACTACAAATCCCATGACTCCATACCAAGAAAGGTGTGTGAGAGGAAAGGCATGTGGCTGGGTTGGGGGTGATGGGCTTTGATGGCTATGTTTCTGTCTGGCTGGAATGGGGCACTGGGTTTCAGCTGACCGTGCAATGGGGGCCAGAGGTGTTGGCATAATTGGGAATCCCATGGGGTGCGTCTGATCAGGCAACAGGGATGAGGAAATGTTCCCAGAAATAAAATGAGATAAAATCTGGGGCTGGAGTGTGTGTGTGTTGTGGCTTGTCTCAATTAAATATCTAGGTTTTGCTTAACAATAACAACAACAACAACCTGTAGACTTTGTTTCAACCAAAACCACAATACCATAGACTCCATTGTATCAGAAAGCTTTTGTAGAGTGTTAGTTAGAATTCTTGTACATATCCAACACTTCCTTCAAATTAGACCCAAATCATCCCTTTTGGTTTTGGTAAGGAGCACTATCTATTTTCTTCTGACCATCACGCTGAGACAAAGTTAGTGGGGCAAATAAGAGCAATTCACTGCCCAACCAAAAAAAAAATCTTGGTGTCTTGGTTTTTAGGCCTATTTCTGGGGTTATTCAGAAAATTGCAATGGGTATACTGCATCAACTCTAGTTTCTTAGATATGGTTATGGTTTTCTATGGGCGAGCAGATGGCAACTACTAGATGGCATATGTTCTGTATCTAAAAAACTAGAGCGGTTAGGGGAAAACTGATGTCATTTTTGGAATTATCAGGTCAAACATACCCAGAAACAGCTGTAATATTTGAGGCACCAAAATGTGTGTTGGCCAGTGTTAGGGTTATGAAGACTAGTGCCTATTAATTTGAGTTAATCAGCTCTATCTTCAAGATTTCAAACAAAATGATGCAGCTCTGGAACAGCTGGGTTCTTTTACAGCATAAATCAACCATGTGTCCCCAGCTAATACTTACAACTTAACAGGAAAAGATCAAGCGGCTCCTCTTTCATTTAGTTTAATTAAAGGTACTGATTGATATATTGAATTTTATGACATGCAATCTGCATCACAGACTGATTTGATCAGGCCATTTTTAGCTTTTAGATCTGGCTGAAACTCTCACTTTACTTTAAGAGTTTCTCACTTTCCAAAGCAAAAGCAGGAGATTTTCAAGCCTAAGCCAATCATGGAAAAGCTCTTAATCCCAACATGAGCGAGTATAAACAAGAATGTCAGCATGCTGAAGCAAACAGGCAGTTTCTTTGTGGGCATAAACAATGGGTTCTTTAACAACAAACTTGACCAACAGCCCACTTGAAAATCAGTTGAAAAAACCCCAGAAGAGATCTTGTTTTCCTCCGGCAAGATTTTAAAAAGCGAATAATTTAGTAATTTTGTTCAACAGCTTTACAAAAAGCAAGTCTAAATGCCGAGTGGAAAAATGCATGAGTACTATCCATGCACTTGGAATGATTTCTATTCATTAATGAATATTTCAAGTCTATACAGTTACTCTTCTTGAAGCCTGGCCACTAAATGCCGCAAGAGTCGCCACCAAAGAAACAAAACAAAGCCAACCATTTCATGGTTGGCTAGAGAGTAGGCATATGCCGAGAGTGAATTCATAATCACCAGGGTCTCACTTATTGCTTGTTAGTGGAAGGGAAAAATTCAGTTCCTTTTAAATACATGAATGAAACAAAACCAAAATGAACTGATGCATCCATATTCCATGCTAATCTTTGGAATGGCATTTTATCTTAAGCCCTTATTAAATACAATGTTGTGATATGGGAAAGGTTTTTGTTTATTACTCTTTATGGGTACCTGGCACTTTCTCACTGTGTATGCAATTTTAAAAAAAATTATTTAAGATATATATAGATAGATAGATAGATAGATAGATAGATAGATAGATAGAGAGCGCAACATGGTGTTTAATCTGCTTTCATAATCACACAAAGCTAGATAGTATCAAAGCCACTGAAAATTACCATAGAATCATCTCGGAGAACCTAAAAATGACTACAGAGGTATTTTTTTCTAGGAATTTTCTACTTCTTCCAGAGGAAGAATACCACAGAATTGTCTGGAGGACCTAGAAAATTCACGGAGGAGAAATGAGATTTACTTGAATATAATGCTCACTTTTTTTTACTAAATTACCTCACCAAAATTAGAGTGCGCATTAGTAAAGGTAAAGTCCCCCCCCCCCCCCCCCCCCCCCCCCGATCTACTCACATTTGCAAGTTTTTGAACTGCTAGGTTGGCAGAAACTGGAGCTAACAGCAGCAGGAGCTCACCTCGCTCCCTGGATTCGAACTGCCAACCTTTCGGTCAACAAGTTCAGCAGCTCAGCGGTTTAACCCCCTGCACCACTAGGGCCCCCCAGTATGCATTAGATTTGCATAATACAGTAATGTTAGTGCTGAGCCCAAGCAAAAGAGGAGGCCGCTTCAGATGCTCCTATTGGAGGGATGTAATCTCTAATTTAATGGCCATGCCACAATGCTATGCAATCCTGGGATTAATAGTTTGGAGAGCCACATGAATTTTTGGACAGAGAAAGCAAAGCGCAAGACCTTGTAAAACTATGTGATTCCATAGCATTGAGTCAGGGCAGTTCAAGTGGATTTGTTCTACAACACAGATGTACTCCGAAGGTTTTTTTTTTTTTCCATTGCTGCATGTATTGGTGTTTTTAAAGAAGGAATGCTAAGCAGGTAGCCACTGTAATGTGCAATACATTCAGCAGCAACTACTTTTTTTGGTTTCAGGGTTTTGAAAATTGAGATGTTCAATTTGATTTGATGGCTCATTAGATTCAAGTAAATACAGGTATTTTATTGGATATAAATAAATGAAACTGTTGGTACTGTTCCAACTGGTATCAGGTTCATATTACATAATGTATTAAATTGGAAGCTACTGGTGACTTTAATCCTCCTAAGGTATGTGAAGCAGAAGGTCTGGCTGTTGATGTGCCATTACCTGTGGTATCAACCTGTGGCAAGAGTCGGAGGAAAATGGGCCGTGCATAAGGAGGGAGAACTTTCTGCATTTCCAAGAATAGTACATTAGGATTCAGCTTCGCTTCTGGATCAGCAATAGCTGCCATTCCAGCCTTGCCTTCAACTCCTGAAATTGAAAAAGAATGCATCAGAAGCAAGGAAGGGAGCAGCTGATTTTGGCAAAGTTCTGAACTTACTAACACCCAGAGCTGGAAATCAATTAAGTAGTAACTTTTTCTCTCAAAATCCATTCCACATCAAGAGAGTAAAGATAGCTTGTCTTCAACCACCAGCAAGGGACTCTGTCAGTCTTCATTAGAAAGGAGACCTCCCAATTATCAGTTGTCATTCTGACCTCTGTCTGAAGCCAGAGACCTGCTTGGTCATTGTAATCCACTGTCCCAGTAAACGCAGGAGTGAAGGAACACTTGCCCAGCTCCAAATTGATGTGGCTGCTCTAAACAACGTGCCCTTTTGTCAAACCGATCTTCCTTCTCTGCCTTTCTTTCTGCTTTTTCCCTCATGTTTCTCCCAGCCTTTTAGTTTGGAAAGGCGGGGTGTGTGCTTTATTTTCATTTATACAGAGTGCCCACTTCCCAAGCAGCCTTGTACACTGAATATTAATGGCTGCAGCCTCATTTTGAAAACTTTCTCACTGCAAAGTGGGATAAATATATTTTTAGATTAACCAAGTGGGCAAAGCCTAGAGGATCGGGCTGCAGCTGATGAGCAGCCAAAGAAATATTTCCTCAAGTCAAAAGATACCAATGCCTTCTGGCTTGATTTAACTCTGCTCGGAGCCCTTCATTTAGGTCAGCAACTAACCTTTGGTGACTCAGCAGAAAGCAGGATTGTGTTCTGTCCTAACACTTCATGCCAGGAATCCCAATGGTGCCACTGAGAGCAAACAAGAGAAGTCCTTTGGCAGAAGGAAAGCAAGCCATCCACCCTGTTTTAAGGTACTGCTGCCTAAATACAAAATTTTGACAATCTAGCTTCAAGATCCAGTGTCCTGAAAATCTTGAAGTTGCCCTTCAATATTAACACAAAGTCCTTAGGCTTGATGAAAATGCTAGAATGCCCCGTTGGCAATATAAAGCATGGATGTTTTTGACACCTGCACATCATCTCCTTCTTTCTCCACAGCCCTTACTTCCAATCCTACACCTTCCCCATTTGTGAGCTGAAGTTTTTCTTCCTATTCTCCAGAACAGCCAGGTGTAGAAGAAACTGTGTAAAAACAGCTAGAAATCTACTCAAGACCCAAACACAAACCCCTGTGTGTCTTCTTGCACATATCTGTGCTTGTGGCATAGCAATTGCCTCATACCCACCTGAGCATCTACTCTTCCCACTCTAAAAGAAAACACTGGAAATCTATGTATCTCTTTGACTTAAATATTATTATTTTTGTATTGGAGAAATCTACCAGTGCTCACAAAGTAGAACTGCAACAACAGATCAAGACTGTCTGAAAACTGTGCATCTTTATTTATTCTTCGGCATTACTTTTCTGCTTTATTTGAAATCTGTTTTTGATATCCATTTTCTATTAACCATAGAATCATGGAGTTGGAAGAGACCGCATGCCATCCGATCTAACACCTGCCATGCAGGAAAAGCACAAGCAAAGTACCTCTGACAGATGGTCATCCAGCCTCTGTTTAAAAGCTTCCAAAGAAGGAGCCTCCACCACACTCTTGGCCCTTCCACACAGCCATATAACCCAGAATATCAAGGCAGAAAATCCCACAATATCTGCTTTTAACTGGGTTATTTAAACATGGTTATCATGTCTCCTCTTAAACCTTTCTTCTGCAGGCTGAACATACCCAGGTCTTTAAGACACTCCTCACAGGGATTCATGGTCTTCAGACCTTTGATCATTTAAATTCTTTAATCAAAAAATCGTAGAATCCTTGAGTTGGAGGAGACCTCATGGGCCATCCAGTCCAACCCCCTGCCAAGAAGCAGGAAAATCGCATTCAAAGTACCCCTGACAGATGGGCACCCAGCCTCTGACTAAAAGCCTTTAAAGGAGCCTCCTTTGGAATACTTTTACATTCCACAGGATTCCAAAGAAGTCCACATTTCTCATTCTTATATATAAGGAAAAAATGTCCAGAGAATTTGTGTTCTAGTCACTAGACATATATGTGTATGATTGATCTCTTGAATCCCTAACTCTTACAATAGGCATCAATGGCAAAAATTTACATTTTAGTATACGCAAAGCTATAAGACATGTAAGTACAGGCTTTTAGCAGAGACTTATTTCAGGGATAGAAATAATTTTTCAAGGGTAGTTTTCAAGTGTAAGTTTAAGGCAGAACAATTTGTCTGGTAGCAAAATGGAGCACTAGAATATCTTTCCTTTAGACAGATAAAAAGGTTCCCCATCTTACTTAGTTATTGTATGTTAAGTATGCTGTTCCTTTCTGTCTGTTTTACTTCTGTTACAACTAATATTTCAGACTCCAGTTCTTTAAGTGTCTAGGCTTCCTTCTTGTGAGTTGTTTGCAGGACCCCAATTCCAGAAGCAACAGCTAGTTTTGAAACCAGGCATTCCTACTAAGAGCCATCCTAAAACCCTAAAACCAGGGGTTCCAATTACCTGGCACCTCCACCCCATACACTGCCACGTCTGTCTTGCTGAGAATGTGGCTCAGGATTCCCTCAATCTCAGTGGTGGAGACGTTCTCCCCTCGCCAACGGAAGGTGTCTCCGCTCCGGTCTTTGAAGTACATGTAACCAAGCTCATCCATCACAAGTACATCTCCTACAAGGAAACAAGTGAGCCTCAGTATTCAGTGAATTCACAGGACTACTTTTCTTTTTTTTATCAGAATTATGGGGGTTCGTCACTTGGGGACCAGGGTAAAAAAAACCCATATTGCTCACCTCACAACCTCTGAGGATGCTTGCCATAGATGCAGGCGAAACGTCAGGAGGGAATGCTTCTGGAACATGGCCATACACCCCGAAAAAATCTACAACAACCCATATTACTCTGTGCTTACTAATATAGGGAAGGGAAGAATGAAGACCTCCCTATAGTGTCAGACTACAACTTCCAGCATTTCACATCATTGCCTGTGCTGGCTAGGGTTGATGTGAGCCACAGACTGAAAATAACTAAAATATTGCATATCTTCCACCCATGCATGGATGGTTCAGGAACAAACAGGAATCAGAAGACAGGACAGAAGAACATCTACTTTTATGGCCCATCTACAGCAGATGGGCCACTGTAGAAAGTTAAGGGGCCGCATTAGCCCCTCCAGGAGATTTTGGAGAGCCACACACACTCCTTCCAAAAAAAGCAAACAACTTTTTTTTGTCTCCCATTGCTTTCTAGGGGATAAGGGTGCATTTTAGTTTGATTTTTTTCCTGCTTTGACAATTTAAAGCACAGGAGAGCCCTTTTTATTAACAGGAAGTGAGCAGAAGTCATTTCTTGTTCACATATGTTTTTAAAAACGACTGAAAAAGATTTCTTTTGTAGACTACTAGTCCCCAATCTTTTGTCTATCTCCCAGAAGGCCAAGCCAACTTGGTCAACTATCAGGAAGTCTGGGAGCCAAAGTCCAAAACACCTGGGGGATCACAGAATGGAAACAACCTTTGTAGACCACAACTTGTAATGTCCTTATCCCCCATGAAACAAGCTGTTTGGAGAATACCTGAAAGGTAAGCCTGGTCCCCTTTCTTGAAGACATTGTAGGCTATTTTCTTGTTAGTTGCATTCTCATTAACATAGCCATCAAAACGACGCAAGGGGTCCTCCTGGTTTATTCGGCCCACAAGCAGGCCTGGCTCTCCTGAAAAGAGACAGAACAAAAATTCCAGAAAGAATGATCTATCAGTCATATAATCACAGCTTTAGGTACCTTTGTGGCTAGCTCGATGGGTTTTATTTATATCTCAGCGACTCATTATCTCTACCACAGTGCTTTAACTGAACAGTTGAGAAATGGGTATTGTCATCTGCAGCTGCGTTCAGGCCCTGGATTCTTGTCACACTTTCATTTCAATTCAGCTTTACCTACCACTAACTTTTGGACAGTTCCCCAACAAGATATGGCTTCTTTCTCCTTCTTCCCCATATGGGAATGAATTCAACTATATCCTGAATGTGAACGTAGGTATATATAAGTATTTTTGAGGCAGTATATTGACTAGGGAGATGGTGAAACAAAGTGTAATGCCTTTCATTCAGGAAATCCCAGATAAAACAGGAGAAACTAGAAAGTAGCCTATTTAGATTAGTGGTCTAATTTTGTAAAAAAACCATCTTTTTCCATTCCCTTGACTGCTGAGTAAAGTTAGATTAATCCAGAAAGACGGGCAATGATGTTAGTTCACAACATGCAGTAATGCTAGTTCACCACTGAGTTAAGATAATAGAATAAAAATAGTGTAAGGAGAAAGGGACAAGTCTAGGAAGAGAGGCAGAAAGGAATTATCCGCCTCTTTAATGACACCAATATGCCTGTAACAAAATGCAAATTTGTGCACACAGCAAACCACAAAATGGCATCAAGGAATACATAAACATCTCCTACACAATTTCTGCGTTTAATCACATGGTCCCAATCCTATAAAAAGTGGCATGCATATTATCTTCAAAGAGAGAATGCCTTCACTTTCCCACAATGTAATTTCTCTTTACTAAATCTCAGTTGTTATATGAGTAAAAAAAACAACCAACAAAAACAATCCCTACACAGAAATACATCCTCTTACATCAATTATTAAATGCTTTTTAGGCACAGCAACCACAAACACTTTTGTTTAGTTCCTGACTCTGTAGGATAAACACACTCAGTCCTCAGTTGCAACAAGAAGAAGACTTGACAAAGTGTATGTTCAAATGTTTTAACCTTCACTTGAGTAATCCCAAGAATTCTTTATTTGTATCATCTTTAAGGATATTATTTTTAAAGGGTTTTAAGAAAATGGGGAACAATTCAGTGTCCATCAATTACATATATCAAAACATCTGTATTTCATGGCTTGGGTAAAGATGTAGCTCCCTTGTTCAAGCCATGTTTACTCAAGACTAAATGTGGGTAATGGGAATTCTAGGCCCTTGTGGGCAATTCCCTCATTTCTACTTTATATCTAGGATCCCTCTGGCCAGTGCTTTCACTATGAAAGCTCCTTTGCTGCAGGACATTGATGAGAAGCTTCAGGCCACCACTTTCCTGCCCAGAGGTCAGTCCAGTAGATATGGCCCCTGTAAGTAGACCTTCTAACCTAGAATAAAGCAACAGACCCCCTTGCCTTACATCCGGATGTCTATTCAGGTACTGGCCACCTTGGTATAAATTCTGGGCAAACAGCAACCACTCTGTGGCATGCCATACCATTACCAATGCATTCTAGAAACAGAACAGATAATGAGGTCCAAATCAGCAATGATTTAGATATGCAGTAATAGTATTTGACATTCTGCTGGGATCCTTAATCTCGCCTAATTACATGCAATAGATGAAGTACGTGGCACTCACTGTGTATTTACCTGGACGACAGGAGATACAGAGTCCATTTGAACTCCGTATCAGTTCCATGGTATCTTCATTTACTTTCACCAGTCGGATGGGATACACATTTGGCAAAATCCGGCTGTTGAACCCACAGGCACCAACCTGCCAATAAAAGAGCAAAGCTTTTATTATTATTATTAAACTGAGTTGCTTGTTATGAAGGCAAGTAAATTACTGTGTGCATATTTATTATGTACCAGGATATGGGCCTGTGAATGCTCAAGATATACAGAGTGTTCAAATGTTGAGTAAATCAGAACAAAAGGGAAACTACAAAGCACACAAAAGAGGGTGCTGTCATGCTCAAGCAAGATGGTGGTTTACAGCACATATTATGAAGTGGGCTAGTAGAGTATGTACAGAGAAAGTATGTGCCATGCAGATGGGCGGGGGGTGGTGGTGGTGGTGAATATATGCCATGAGTTTGTTCATTTTTTACTTTCCGACATTTCCTTAACAATACATAATTTCCTTTTGCTACACTATGTAAGCTCCCACCCGGGGCCATTTTTATATAGAAACAGAATTTTCCGGGTCAGGTCAGGAAAGGCCCTGAAAAGGCAGGTGGGAAAAGAGCATTCTTTTGCCATTTCTGAAACTCCTAATTTTTACTAGACAATGCTACAAAATTTCTATCCCAAGCTAGGAGAAACCCTGAATCAGTGTGTTCCTCTCTGGCGATGGGAATACACTGCAATATTGTGTTGGCAGCCCCTCTTGAAGAAATCTATGAAATAGGACTAATCACTAATAAAGCCTACACCTATCAGGATTCTGAGGACTGAAGCTCTGCTCTGACTTGGTGGCAAGCAGAGCATATAGAACTGATCCTTTCCAAGATCAGCCTCCTAACTGCTGTCACACCTCATAGTGACCTATTCTGTGGAGGGATTTGATCATTAATCCAATCACTTCTTCAGGGGCTTAAGTCATTTCACCTTCCTGTTCTTGCATGTTTCACAGCTAGAGCAAGTTGCTAAGACTTTTGGCACCTCCCCATCACTAAAAGCTGAGTAGCAGTTGTCCGGTTACAGACTGCTGAAACTGTGTGCACCCATACACACACAGAGCGTAAGTAGCCAGAGAGGTATTCCTGAATACCATATTTCACATCATTGATTGTAAGACATACACTAATTTCAGTATAACTGCCATTAACAAAAAATATATGAGAGACACCTATGGTTCTAAGATGCACCCCATTTTTAGAAATGTATATATAGGAATGAGTGCATCTTAGAATTGAAGAACTACAGTGATACATTTTCAAAATCAGAAAAAATGCATAAGTGCAAATAATGCTGCAAGTGATATGGAACCGGTGAACTGGCCAATATGCAGTCTCTTCAATAGATGAGAATGTGTCCAAACAGATTAACAAGATCAAATCCACAAAACACACTCCAAAATATAAATGGTCATGGNTGTACTGTACACCGCCATGAGTCGCCCGTATGGGCTGAGAATGGCGGTTAATAAGAGCATTAAATAAATAAATAATAAATAAATAATTCTATAATATACCTTTCCATCCAGATTAGCAATGCTGCAGTTACACTCTGTAGCCCCATAAAATTCCCCAATCTGTTTAATTCGGAAGCGCTGAGTGAAATCTTCCCAGATAGTGGGCCTCAAGCCATTTCCTATTGCCAGCCGCACTTGGTGCTGTGTTTCTGCCTCCCGCACTGGCTGGTTCAACAAGTACCTGCAGATCTCTCCAATATACTGGATAATCTGTAAGAAACAAGATGTATTAATTAGAAAGAGCAATCTAGTAATATCAGAAGTGGGTCAGAAGGAAACCTTTCCTGATTTGTTTTTCTTATGACCTTTTGCCTTCAGAAAAATAGAGACAAATTATCTGAGCAGCAAAAATATTTTATGACCTTTAAATGAAAAATTGCTACTATTAATAGGGTATCTTTGTGTTTTGGATGTCATGTTCCAGGTGAACAGATCCAGCATGACCCATGTAAACTAGTAGAGAAAGGGTTATTTAAGTTTACAATTGTGCCCTAACCAATTAGGCAGCAGTTCTTTTTTTTTTTTAAGTAACCTAGGTATTTACTAAACCACTGGAAGTAACTGCCTTCTTTTAAGATGATACAGTTTTAAGACAGTACAAATATGGCATTGCCCCCCCCCCCCATATGCAAGGGCCTGCTATAATACTTCCAAGCAACAATTCAGAACCAAGAATGCTTTCTTCTTCAAAACTGTATATTATATGTATGAAAAGAAGATAAACCAATGAAATAGGACATCCTTAGCCAAGCTATAACTGTAGCTTGCAATTAGTTGGAATACAGGAAATAATAATAATAATAATAATAATAATAATAATAATAATAATAATAATAATCTTTATTTATACCCCGCTACCATCTTCCCAAGGGACTCGGTGCGGCTTACATGAGGTTGAGCCCAAAGTACATCAACAATAAAAGTAATAAAAACAATAAATGCAACAGTTAAAATAAATCTCATACACAAAAGTAAACAATAAACAATAACAATAACAACAAGCATTTAAAACCTATGGCTGGGTCAAATGCAAAAATTTAAAAACAAGGTGTGCACATGGGAAGTTTAAGTATGACTTGCACACCTCTAAGGACATTTTCAAACCAATGATCCACACTGTCGATGAGAAATCTCCTATAGTATAATCACAAGTTGTTGTATCACAGCCTAGAATATGTCGACATATGGTTACTGGCCTAAATTCCCACCTAATTTGAAAATGGCATCATCATTGTGTGAATGTAATTTTTACATAATGAAACAATGAGAGATTCCTACACTCTGCATATTTACTGAGAAGCAAGCCATATTTTGCTCAATGGGGCTTGCTTCCAAAGAAGTAGGCTTGGTATTGCAGTCTTAATTAGGCTTTTCAAATAGGAAGCAAAAGAAAGCACTGCAATCAAGTGGAAGTAAAGGTCAATCTAAGAAATTTCTTCTTGACCTAAGCCTTCCCACTGGAGGTGGGGGGGGGGGGGGGGGGGAGTGGAGAAATCGAGCCAGCCTCTTCCTTGGTGAGTTTCATGAATGCCATGCAGCAAAGGTGCCAGGGATGAGATTGATTTTCTCACACCTTCTGTTTCTCTGTTACCTAAAATAGCCATGGCTGGAAGGGGAGGTTAAAAAGTCAAGGGATTTCCAGCTGGAATCTCCCTTTGCAGTAAAGCTGGCATGCTGAACCAAAAGTACGGCTATCGGATCACAGAGGGGCAGGCAGCAAAGCAGTCAGCTGAACTCAATACTTTCCAACACAGGGATAAAAGAAAGCTGACAAACTCACTTCACCTTAATCAGGGGCAGCTGTACTGGTCCAGTGGCTACCTCACGTAGCAGATCTTTAAATGGCACAAATAGTGGCAGGGAAAACAGATCATTTTACACCACAGGGCATGGCCACTGGCATGTAGGTTCTGGGAGGGCATATTTCAGTTTACAGCCATCAATATGTCCTGAGTGTGTGTCCCTAATTCACTATGTTAGCATTTACAGATCCACACACCACTCCACCATGGCTTCAATACTACTAAATTAATACTGAATTTTCCACATCATGGACCTCTTGGCAAAGAACATGCTGTTTAGCTTCCATGAGCACCCATAAAGTTTAATGATTCAGCACTAATTGCTCTTAAATGATTGACATAGCTTTCAGATCTCCCATTCAGCTGAGGCACTTATGGACAAGAAGCCAACACAAACACACTGTGTGATGTAACCACTGGATTTTTTTTTTAGCATTGCAACTGCAGGAAAGTGATTTTGAAGCACCACCCCTCTTTCTACAAACCTAGGATCAACTGGTAAGGGCTTCTCTCTGTCCCACTACCTGCACAAGTGTGAAAGGTGGTAAAAAGGGAAAAGAAAGTCTTTCCTGACTCCAAACTCTGGAACTCCCTCCCAAGAGAGACCAGGATGGCCTTGTTTTTGCTTGCCTTTTGCAAGCAAGCTAAGACATTTACTTGCCATCACGCATTTAGGGAATAATGAGAGGCAAGCTGTTGGGAAGGTTGTGGGTGGGACGGCTTTAAAAGACGGCTTTATACATGGACCTCACCAGATGGTCAACACCGAAATCAGATTGACTACATCCTTTGCAGCCAAAGGTGGCGGACATCCATCCAGTCGGTGAAAACAAGACCTGGGGCTGACTGTAGCTCAGATCACGAACTTTTTATTGCTCAATTTAGAATAAAACTAAAGAGATCAGGGAAAATACACAGACCAGTTAGATATGATCTCACTAACATTCCTAGAGAATATACAGTGGAAGTGAAGAACAGATTTGAAGGACTAGATTTAGTAAACAGAGTCCCAGAAGAACTATGGACAGAAGTCCGAGACATTGTTCAGGAGGCGGCAACAAAGTACGTCCAAAGAAAAAGAAAACAAGAAGGCAAAATGGTTGTCTGCTGAGACACTGGAAGTAGCCCAAGAAAGGAGGAAAGCAAAAGGAAACAGGGATAAGGGGAGATATGCCCAGTTAAATGCGCAATTCCAGAGGTTAGCCAGAAGAGATAAGGAACTATTTTTAAATAAGCAATGCATGGAAGTGAAGAAGACAACAGAATAGGAAGGACAAGAGACCTCTTCCAGAAAATTAGAAACATTGGAGGTAAATTTCAGGCAAAAATTGGTATGATAAGAAACAAAGATGGCAGGGACCTAACAGAAGCTGAAGAGAAGGTGGCGAGACTATACAAAGATCTGTATAGGAAGGATAATAATATTGAGGATAGTTTTGACGGTGTGGTGAATGAATTAGAACCAGACATCCTGAGGAGTGAGGTTGAATGGGCCTTAAGAAGCATTGCTAACAAGGCAGCAGGAGACGACGGGATCCCAGCTGAACTGTTTAAAATCTTAAAAGATGATGCTGTCAAGGTGATGCATGCCATTTGCCAGCAAATATGGAAAACACAAGAATGGCCATCAGACTGGAAAAATCAACTTATATCCCCATACCAAAAAAAGGGAAATGCGAAAGACTGCTCAAACTTCCGTACAGTGGCCCTTATTTCTCATGCCAGTAAGGTAATGCTCAAGATCCTGCAAGGAAGACTCCAGCAATACATGGAGCGAGAGTTGCCAGATGTTCAAGCTGGATTTAGAAAAGGCAGAGGAACGAGAGACCAGATTGCCAATATCCGCTGGATAATGGAGAAAGGCAGGGAGTTTCAGAAAAACATCTACTTCTGCTTCATTGACTATTCTAAAGCCTTTGACTGTGTGGATTGTAAGAAATTGTGGCAAGTTCTTGGTGGTATGGGGATACCAAGCCACCTTGTCTCTCCTGAGGAATCTGTACAAGGACCAAGTAGCAACAGTCAGAACTGACCACGGAACAACAGACTGGTTCAAGATTGGGAAAGGCGTACGGCAAGGCTGCATCCTCTCACCCAACCTTTTTAACTTGTATGCAGAACACATCATGCGATGTGCGGGGCTTGATGAATGCAAGGCTGGGGTGAAAATTGCTGGAAGAAACATTAACAACCTCAGATACGCAGATGACACCACCCTGATGGCCGAAAGCGAGGAGGAGCTGAGGAGCCTTCTAATCAAGGTGAAAGAAGAAAGCGCAAAAGCCGGGTTGCAGCTAAACGTCAAAAAAACCAAGATTATGGCAACAAGAATGATTGACAACTGGAAAATAGAGGGAGAAAATGTGGAGGCCGTGACAGACTTTGTATTTCTAGGTGCAAAGATTACTGCAGATGCAGACTGTAGCCAGGAAATCAGAAGACGCTTACTTCTTGGGAGGAGAGCAATGTCCAATCTCGATAAAATAGTGAAGAGTAGAGACATCAGACTGACAACAAAGATCCGCCTAGTCAAAGCCATGGTATTCCCTGTAGTCACCTACGGATGTGAGAGCTGGACCTTAGGGAAGGCTGAGCGAAGGAAGATCGATGCTTTTGAACTGCGGTGTTGGAGGAAAGTGCTGAGAGTGCCTTGGACTGCGAGAAGATCCAACCAGTCCATCCTCCAGGAAATAAAGCCCGACTGCTCATTGGAGGGAAGATACTAGAGACAAAGTTGAAGTACTTCGGGCACATCATGTGGAGACAGGAAAGCCTAGAGAAGACAATTATGCTGGGGAAAGTGGAAGGCAAAAGGAAGAGGGGCCGACCAAGGGCAAGATGGATGGACGGCATCCTTGAAGTGACTGGACTGACCTTGAGGAGCTGGGGGTGGTAACGGCCGACAGGGAGCTCTGGCGTGGGCTGGTCCATGAGGTCACGAAGAGTCGGAGACGACTGAACGAATGAACAACAACAACAACAACAACAACAACAATCCACACACTAATATTTAATTGCTTTTTAATTTTTGTATTTGTTTTAAATTTTATTAGATTGTGTGGTTGTTAGCTGTCTTGAGCCCTGATGGGGAGAAAGGCGGGATATAAATAAATATAACAATAACAATAATATCTGATTTAGTGCCCTCACCCCACCATGTGGTCATGTGGGTTATGTGCCAAACAGTCTTCTTGATCTTTGTGACGTACAGCTGTCTTGCCAAATACAGCCTCCACATAAATGCATTTGCTCCTGCCTCCTACAAACTGTGGTGCCTACAAGCAGAGTTAAGAGCTCTCCTTACTGTGCACTTGTACTTCACACAGTCGTCCCAGAAGCGACTGGCAGAAAATTTCTTCCGAATCACTACAGTCAGGCCATGGATCACACACTGGCCAGCACCCATGATATTCCCTAAAAGACAGAGAAAAAGGTTTGAGCACACCAAGCTCATGATGATCTAGAGGAAAGCATATTCTTTCAACAGCACAATGTCACTAATAATGCAGCGGCTGGCCTCCATCCTGAAAGAAGTAGCAACAATTCCTGCCTACCTGCTGAGTGATACAGTGGCAGGCAGTTATAGATTATGTCCTGGGGGGTCATTCTGTAAGCATAATAACCAAAAGCTGCTATTCGGTAGTACCTACAAGGAAACAAAAAAATATTTCAGGGAAGTCCACATAATTGCTCTTTGCTGTTATCAGATGAAAGCTATTATTTGATGAGAGCATGTCTTTCACACAAACAAGGGCCAACTCCAGCAGACATAAAAACAATTTTTACCTCAATTACACAAGTACATGCCTGAGACATTATGCAAAGCTGCCAACAGGTGCCCAGATTTCTAATCATGAGTAGATCTCAGAAGGAGCTGAATGACAGACTTAAACCCACACAATGACGTCACATAAAGAACCCCTGTGTGTCTACTTTAGAAAATATCTCCATAAGCTCTATAACTGCACCATGGTGGGGGTGAGGGCTTAAGTTGTCTTAATCATCTCTATCACAACAGTTAAGGTACTTTATTTTTTTTAAAGAAGGGTCATTTCTACTTGGTCTGGCTGCAGTTTTAACTTTTCACCTATTTATTTTGCTTCTACTGCTGTTTAAGAGCTTTAGAGTGCAGTCCTTTGTCTCTGAAATGGAGAAGTACAGGCCACAATCAAACTACTCAAGTAAACGAAGAGTCAAAAAAGCACAAAATGACATGCTTGAGAAATCCAGGTTACAACATTATGGATTGTTTAGCTTAGAAATAAGTTTGGCAGAGGAAGAACCTGAAGTAGTTCTGCCAAATTACACACCGGAGACACAAACATCTAATGAAGCTAGACATGGGTGATTCAGGATAGATAAAATGAAGTCATACTATGAACGCTGAAAGAAGATGCAGAGATGTGCATCAATCTGGACAACTTTAAAGGGGGTGGGATTCATAATATTTAGGGAAGTTAGCATTTGCAAAAGCCACTATTCACTATGTTGTCATTATATTATCCCCCATCAGGCAAGTAGCCGGGGGAGGGGGGCCTTTGGGGGCTTCAGCCCCCCCTCCCCGAAATTCTCATGGTGGTCGGCGAAAAGGCCCTACTGGTACATTAAACTGTTATGTTTATTCATATCATGATCTGATCACCATGCTCAATATATCTCATATGCATGGGGGTATTGGGGTAATGATACAAAAGGTTTGCTAGGGTAGACCCTCTTTCACTCAGACTCAGCCCCCCCCCCCCCCGAATCAAAATCCTGGCTATGGGCCTGCCCCATATCATGAAGCACTACACCTTCTGACCTTGCTGCTGTAGAATATGACCAAATAGATGTTACTGTGCTCATGACCTAAAGAAAGGACTTCTCAAGACATCTTGCTAGAATAGACTATTAGACTAGATAAGCCTTTCCAATGATCCAGTGCAGTTCCTTCTGTATCGTCTATCAATTTTTTTCCAACCTTCAGTACAATTGCACCATTTTCCTGTATTCTCAGTTCTATCAAGGTCTTTCCAAAGTTACAGCCATCAGAACCCTTTCTTGTAGCTGTAAGATCAAAATAGCTTCATCCTAAAAAAAATCCCTGCTACCATCCACTTTACTGTGTCTATGGCATTGAAACGAGAGCAAAATTAAGTCTTTTTATGTACAAAAACATACTAACTGGGGAGTAAGCCAGAGCACTTCTGTTTAAGCTGTCATATATTTGGGAGGCAGAGGGTGACTAAAGGAAAGCCAATATGATTTACGATAGCACCATTATTACATAGTGGGGAACCTAACGGGCCTGCCTAAGCTTCATTTTATTTGCTCCTTCTTGCTCACAATGCTTGAGCAGATCTAGAGGAGGCAGCAAGTCTTCCTCCTAGAGTACACCAAGGATAAAGGCCCCATAATCCAGTGCTTAGCAGCATCTAATATTTGATAACATTTTTAGAATATTCAAAAATGAAAACTATTCTTAATATGAGCAAATATAGACCAAGTTCCAATGATGCTCCTTACCTGCTGTGCACCACAATGGCAGCCTTTGGCATTCCAGTTGTGCCAGAAGTGTAGATGTAGAACAGCCGATCTAGGAGGGAAAGGACAGAAAGAGAGGTAGAGTCTTGGTGTCTTTGCTATTTCTACCCAATTTGGCATAGAAACAGCAAAGTGGCTGCTCTGAAAGCAACAGACAAAATAATAAGAAAATAAGCATTTGAGCCAGTCAGTCCCACACCTGCAGCTGCCCACAGCCTAAGAGGCATATTTGCCTTTTGAGCCAAATGCACAGGCCTGAGGGCACAATATTTTAGCCATAGTGATTCCTCTTTAAACCACTTTGAGTCTCCATGTTAGAGAAAAGTGGAGTATAAATTGTTGGACGAGTGGGCTTACAAACAAAAGACCCAAAAAGAAATTGTAGCCTCCCCGTAAAGAAATTGTAGTACAGTTTAACAGCAGCAGCATAACTCAGCAGCAGTGGCCAGAAAGTGACCAAGTGAATAAAAACACACAGACCATGTTAATTTGCATTTCACTTCCTCTGGAGGCTTTTTCTTGTAAAAAAAAAACACTCTAAAAATATTTACAGAGCACGGTTTCTTCCAACACAAACAAAATTCATTCAACTGAACTGGACATAAATCCAATGACTTATCCTTGCCCGTACCCTGGGAAATCAGTCTTGGCCACGCTCTTGTTACATCCTGAATAGACTACTGCAATGGGCTCTATGTGGGGTTGCCCCTGAAGACTGTTCAAAGGCTTCAAATGGTCTGATGAGCAGGAGCCAGATTTATAATTGGGGCGGCATACAGGGAGCACACAACTCCACTATTATGTCAGCTCCACTGCCTGCCAGTTTGCTACCGAGCACAATTAGCCTATAAAGACCTAAACGGTTCCAGCCCAGTTACCTGCCCAAACGTATCTCCCTCTATGAACCATCACAGAGGTTAAGATCTTTTCTGGAGGCCCTGCATCCCGCCTCCATCGCAAGTGCGGTTGGTGGGGACGAGAGACAGGGCCTTCTCAGTGGTGGCTCCTCAGTTCTGGAACTCTTTCCCTAGTGAGATTAGATCAGCGCCCTCCCTCCTGGCCTTTAGAAAGAAAACAAAGACATGGTTGTGGGACCAAGCCTTTGCCCAGTAAAATAATGCAGTGCAAATAATAATTGGGAAATATGTGCAATGACAATCAAAATGGTCACAGTGTACGATTTTCGGATCATGTGATTTTAAGAATTATACTAGGATGTTTTAAATGCTTTGTCTTAATGTTCAAATGTTTTTGTCTTATGTTTAATGGTTTAAATTATTTTAATTTATGTTAGTGTTTAATTATTATGATTTGCTCTGTTTACATATATGTTAGCATTGAATTTTTGCCATTACTATGTTGTAAACCGCCTTAAATACCTCCTAGGGGTGAGAAAGGCAGTATATAAATATTGTAAATAAATAAATACTCAATCCAAGGCTTTATCTTCTTTCTTCTATTGTGGATGACTCAAACTACATGCAATTCAAACAGCAGTGGCTATACTAAACACAGCAACTCACTCCTTCGTTCATTCATTCAATAGTTCATTCATTCTCTCTCTTTTAACTCGACAGGCACACCTGCTTATAACAAGCTATTGGTTTAGCTGAGTCACTGCACTATCTTAATTTTTACAGTGGCTGTATATCATTTTGTAATTAGAAATATCCTGTTAATTTTTCAATATATCTTACATAAATAATAATAATAATAATAATCCTCCAATTTTTCCTGAAACTAGGTAAAACACCTAGTTGAGACAGCTAATATCATGAACCTGGCAGAAAGATCACGTAACACCTGTGCCTCCATCACAAGCAAGGAAGAGGAGAGAAATTGCTGGCATCTCAATGGGCCCTGTGGGTAAATACGTAGCTCGCTCAAGCCTATGTCTTCAAGGAAACATACCATCTAATCCCTTGGCTGGAACTTGAGCTGGAGGAGACGTTGATGCCTTGGCCAGAAGTGGATCCAAATGTTTGGTGTCTGGAGGGACAGATTCAGGTCTGAATTCTCCAGAACAGAACTTGACCATGTTTTTCCCCAGCACTCCATTCACTTCAGATATAGCTGCATAACCAAAAACAGTCCTTGTTACAACATGGTAAGTATCCACGTCAGTGAGTTTCCTTATTTGAAACTGATGCCAAATTAAAGTTGACTGGCATTTTACTTATTCCAATATAAACTCCATCTGTGAAACATATCACATATACATTATAACTGTGCAAATTATGCTACCTGTGTGCAAAAAAAAGAAAAAGAAAAAAAAAAGACTTAAGCTAAATATACTCAAATCATGTCCAGCATAGTATCTTCCCTCACAGCAATGACTTGAAATCTTTTTTTAAAATCTTTAGAAATTTTCTCCTTGGTCTTATTGCATGTAACTCCATTTTTGTGCAATGCACACACACGGAGCAGTCTGCTCACTGCAGCAAGGCTACATCTGCAGAAACCTTCTTATGATGTATGAGACAGGATACTTCATAAAAAAATATTCTACAACAGGAATCCTTTTGATGACAAACATCACTATAACAATGCTGGATTTTATGGCTATTTAAAATATGCTTTTTCGATGTGATTTATTTATTTTCGGCATCCATACACCATACTTCTGAAATACAAGGCTTGTGTTAAGAGAACTGAGCTCCCAAAGGATAATCTTCCATTTAAGAAAAGGGATGTTCCTAACCCACTACACTTTGTTTTACAGTGGTTGTTTTTTTTTACCACATCCATACTGCCAAATTAAATGGAGGAAAGCAGTGATGCCTGCAAAATTAGTTGAATGGACTAGATCATGCTCATCGTTGGCTTAAGAGGTGGCAATCTAAATGTACAGAACTCCCACCTGCTGAAAGCTCTCCACCAAAGATGATTACTTTCGCCCCAGAGGTTTTGACGCAATAAGTTAGTGAATCGAGACGCAAGTTGAAGTTGATGAGGGCGGGCTCGATGCCCACTTTGGCCATCCCTAGCCAGAAGCCCACAAACTCAGGTCGACTCTCCATAAAAATAGCAATGACGTCACCAGCACGATAACCCTGCTGGTAGAAGAAGTTGGCTACAGCATTGGAATACTCATCCAAACGGCGAAATGTCCATTTATCGTCCGTAGCTTCATATATCAAGGCCACTTTGTCTGGATGTCGGTGGACTACATCCTGAAATATCTTGGGGACATTACTCTTGGCTTTCCGGTGATAGTACAATTTATATTTGACACGTAGAAGCACTGAAAGTCCCCTGCAATGATAACAAGAAAATCTTAATTATTTTAGCATAAAACAAACACTCCCAAAACTAACAGGAAAAGACTCCACATCAGGGCATAACTGCAACTAGATCCATCCTCCAAGACATAATCTTATAATGCTGTGACAGACATACACTTATGATTGTGCCCGCTTGACGGTTAAACAATTATGCTGTTTACATATCCTTGCAAGTAAATAGTACACAAAATATTATTATTATTTATTACATTTCTCAATTTGTAGATGACATTGTAAATTACATGCTTTCAGCTGTGACCCAGAACAATTTCAATCAAGTTTAATGAGAGAGGAAAATAACATTTATAAAGGGGGAAGGAGAAAAGAATATTACAAGAGGCCACCAGGGAAGTGAGAGCCATAGGATGCCACCATGTTACATAATATCATATACTGGGCCTGTATACCAAGGGAGAGGGAATCCTCTTCAACAGTAAGACCGAAAACGGATTTTTAGGACTCCAAATCCTTTATTAAGTTCTTTATAAAGTTAGACCACATGAATTAAGCCCACTGCAGCCATCTGAAAGAGCTGCCTAAACAGGCTTTCTGTCTACAACCAGCTCTGTACATCGTATTAATTTTGTATGCTATTACAAACTCTCACTGTTGCACATGGAAGGAAGAAAGCCTTGCAAACACTGCTCTCCACTTAGCCTCCTTCATTTAGCATTATCCTCTCCCTATTTGCGACTATGACCTGTTTTTTAATTAAACAGACAAGTAGTAACAGACAATAAAGAAAGGCATTTTCAGAATGCTCTTTGCTTCCAATGAAGTAAACGGAATGACCACAGCTCAGTGGGCAGAGTAAGTACTTTGCATTTAGAAGGTCCCAGGTTCAATGCTTTGGAGAGAAGAACTGAAGAGAGAAGCCTTACATGAGACCTTAGAGGAGGGGTCACTAGCAAGAGTAGGCAGTAGTAAGCTATTTGGATCAGTGATCTGCCTGAATACAAGGTAGCTTTTACATGTTTATAAAGCACTAACAGATACACTGTTTGCCTGTGGAAGGCAAACCAGAATAGGAACAAGACAGAGGACAGAAAGAACACTTTGCAAGTTAAATGCTCTATTTTCAGCATTTGATCATAACTACAAGTAGGAAGGAGCGAGCAAAAATAGTCAATTTACACAAGCATCCATATCTAAGTTCTTCAGCATAGCTAATTAAAAATAAATAAAACTGAAATTGCTTAAAGAATTAAGTTGACAAGTACATCAACTATTTAGTTTGTGGCAAAATAAATGAAATAGCAAGTGGCCCAATCCTAGAAATATTTAGTCAGCTCATAGGCCTTAAAAAAAATCCTCTGAAATTGTTGCACAGATTACAGCCTAAATCTGATGTGCAGACTCTAAAGATTATTTCACTTGGGCTTGCTTCTTAGAAAGTGCTGAGGCATGGAGATGTATGAAGTTTTAGTCTATAACTAGACCTTGAAGGTAACTTTACCCACAGCTATCTGGAATTGAGAACTCAGAACAACTACAGTTAGATACTGATATTAACTTGAAGAATCATTAAAAAAATTAAAGAAAAGCAAATGGCAGTCCTTGACTTACAAACATCTGACTTGCAAATGACTCATGGTTACAAACAGGTGTGAGACAACAGGATGGGAGAGAAATCCACCCTTGAAAGAGAAATGCACTCCTGAAAGAGTTATCATGGGAAAAATGTGTTTTTACTGAAACTTTACCATCAATCCTTGTTTCCACAACCAGTTAATTTTTTCAAGATCCAATTATAGAGACAGAAAGTGAGGTGAAATCTTCTGGACAAGGGCACAGACAGCAAAACAAAAACTAAACACCACAGGAATGTTGATCCTTCCCTATTCTATCCAAAGTGTGTGTGTGTGCGCACACATACAGCTGGAGTTACACTTTTAACATGTACCTGTTCCGATTTACAAACAAATTCAACTTAAAAACAAGCCTATGGAACCTATCTTGTTTGTAACTTGGGGACTGCCAGGATTTGGAAAAATATCCATTGCAATGGACATTCTCAGATCTCTCTGTTCTAGGCATCCTGTTTATATAGACCCGTTAAGAAGAAAAAGGACATGACAGTATCAAAATCACCAGCTACATGGCACTTAACACATTCTACTTCACTACATTCTGAAATACAGCAGACAATTTCCTTTTGTTAAAGATCAAAGAGGAGTCTGGAAGACTCTTCAGAGGAACAAACCATTGATACAAATCAGTGATCTCTTGAAAACCACACAGCCTTCCTGACCGTGAGTGGCCAAAGTAGATGTCCTGGAGAAAGAAGCTCGTTTAGTAATAGGCAGTTGATCCTTTGCCAAACAAGACTGGCCTGTCACAGTGACCCTAACCCAAGCTCTGCCAGGAAAGGAACAGAAGAGCCTTTTCAAGCATTAGCTGCACTTTCCATATTCTTAAGGAGGCTTTCTTCTCTGCTGTTTTTTCTCACTTGCCACACCATTGGGAGGAAGTGGAGTTCCAGAGGACACTGACAGCTACTGTAAGAAGGTGGTATTTGTAAGCACAGGAGCCCTACATCCTTTGGTAACAATGGAACCTCAAAGATGCATAAAAAAGTGCTGATTTCAATTAAAGAGCAAAGCAGACATGAGAATGTTGGGGATTTATCATATATATTTTCACCTCTAAGTCAGAAAATGCGTCTTGTCTAGGAAATAATATAAAACCCATGTATCCACATCAACGATACACAGATCTCAAACTACTTCCTAGGCAGAAATGATTACATACATACATATATAAAGCTGGCTTGAAGACAGTCTTCTCTCCCCTCATCATCTGTTTTATTTGCTGCAGCATACAAATGAGATTTCCCTTTATAGTCACAAGCATTTTATGAGACACACTGGGATAAGAGCTAGCAATTCACTCAGGGTCATCCCATGGGCACTGTGACTTAAAAGCATTTAGAAGCTAGAGGGCCCCATGCTATGTGCTAGCTCAGTATTCTTCAACACACATACATACAGTGGATCCTTGACTTAAGAGTGTCCCAATGTAAGAATGTTTTGAGTTAAGAGCTACTGCTCAGCCCCAGTTTAGCTTTGACATATGAACATTTTGGGTTAAGAGCTAGCACCAGAGTACAGGGCCTCAAGAGACCAGCCTCTGTGCCTCATGCCCATGTCTGCTTTGGGATATTTCTGTCTGCTTTGAGGAACTTTGGGTTAGTTGATTTTGTATGGGTTTTTATTCCTGGTATGTTTGGATTCATGAAGAGAAAGAGCAAGAGAGGGAGGGAGGCACAAATAAGTACAGTAGGAAGAAAAAGATGCTTCTGCCTTTTCACTTTGTGTTTCCTTGCCACAACTTTGCGCTTCTGCCATTTTAAGGTTGATCTTCCTTCACTGGGTGCTTTACATTTTGTTAAAAATGGGTAAGAATAATCCAACATACATCACTCCAAGCCTGGCCGTAACAACCCAGAGATACTGACAGGCAAATAAATGTTTTTTGACCAAGATGTGTGTAGGTGCATTCAAATCATCTGTTGACTTACAATGATCTCATACATTCCCACAAGTTTTCCCACAGGTGTTTTTGCCAGTTCCTTCCCCTACAGCATCTGGCATTCATTGGCAGTCTCACCCAAGGCTCCATCTACACTGGCCATTTAATGTGGTTTCTAACCAATATTGAAGGAAGTGGTTTTTCTGTGCAAATGAATACATAGGAAATGCTGGAATCAGTTTGAGGCCCAGGTGCTGACTGCACAAACCACAGAGCACTTGATGTGCATTAAGAGCTTTTGTGAGAGTTAGTTATCTGGCTGCTAACTTCAAACTGCATTAAATATTCAGTGCTAACCATAGCTCACCCTGCTTAGCTTCCAAGATCAAACAGGACCTTATGCTTGAACAGGATAGTTAGGCTCTTATGTACAGTGTATGTGTGCTTTCAAGTCATCTCTCGGCTTACAACAATTTAATTTCATAGGATTTTCATGGTCAAGGAATTCTCAGAGGTCATTTTTCCAGTTTCTTCCTCTGAAATGTAGCAGAAAGCTCCTGATATTCATTAGTGGGCTCTCATTCAAGCAGTAAGCAGGGCTGATTTCACTTCTAAGATCTGGTGCCTGGTTTTAATGATTTATTTCATATATATCTGGTGCCTTCTTTTAACTATTTATTTCATACTAGCTTAGGTATCCGGTGTTGCCCAGGTTAGATCTTTGGAATGTTATATATTTGAAATAGTTATTGATTGATTTTGGATTTTATGAATTGATTAAGAAGAAAATGCAGAATTGTATAATAAGACCATTTATAAAATCGTAATGAGGGATTCACATGGTTATTTGGATGTGGGTGGACTACAACTCTCATTATCCTGTCAATCCCCACCCCTCAAATCCTGCAAGTGTTTTCAGTTGGTCATGATGTGTATGTGTGTTAAATTTGGACCAGATCAATCATCATTGGAATTCACATGGCTCTCCAGACATGGGAACCATACTGGAAAATGCATAGACATACAGAAACATATTTTCACTTTTATTATATATACACTATAGCAACAGTCTTCCTTTTTGTCAAAGTGGGATGTCTCTTTAAGATGTTCATGAACACTACAGCATTTTGCTTATAGAGCAGTCTGGCAAATGCTTCACTTGTTGTTCTCCCATTTCACAATGAGAGCATTTCCTTTAGTGCAGATGAGCCATCCAATTCAGCCATGTCCTCGGATAAACCAGGCTTCTGAAGCCTTGGTTCACCTAGCTCATATGTACACAAGACTTAATAAACAGAAGAAGATTTAGAAGTTTGTATCTTGACCTCTTTTCTATTTAGCAATAGCAACAAAGCCAATTTAGTACCTCCGTTCATTCCAAATGAATGTAGGCAGAGCTACAAAATTCCACACTTGAAACGAGGCATAGGGAGTATGTTCATAAAGACATTCATCATTTTGGGAGAGTCATTATCTGCACTCTCAGACAAAGCAAAGTTCATATCCTAAGTCCCATGAAATGCCTGACACAGTGGCATATCTGTATTTATCATTTATGGATATAAACCAGCTATTTATGGAGACAATAAAACTGCACATTTGGGCATAAGAGAAAGTTGTACTTACAGGAGATCTCTCAAGGCTGTCTTAAAGATGATCCGGAGAAATGTCCAGCCACCACTGCCAATGTAAATGCCCAGAGCAGCTGCAATACTCCATGTCCAGGAGACACCAAAAAACCGCATGAGACCTAGTGAGCCAAGCGAAGCAGTGCAAACCCCAATCGTGTGCATTCTGGAAAAGGGGACAAGCTCAGTGTTATCCACAATGACTATATAACATTTCCTTGCACCAAGAGTTTATTACGTATATTCTAACAAAGTGTGATTACAAAGATTGAGTGGATGAGGGTCATAAAACACTGAGAGGACAAAGGTGAAGTGAACACAGGAAAACAGCCAAAGACAACAGAGAGTTACGGGTTTATCAAAGGGAGCAGAAGTTGCATTAATGTCAGAGCAAAGTTGGGGGGGGGGGAGCAGGAATCTAATAAATGCTATGTGGTTGCAAGAAAATCCAACCACAGCTGTCACTGAAGACCATCTTGAAAGTGAAGCAGCTGCATCCTGTGGCATGGGCTGAAAGGTGAGATTACAGGCATACTGCAATAAAACTTATGACTTTCAGGTCAAATTCAAGGTGAAGGCTTAACTCTGAAACCCTGAAGACACAAACATGACACTTCCCACTTTGCCTAATAGTAACACCAAACGGACAACAAAATGTTCTTCACACTATGTTCAATGCCGACACAATGGTTACAAATAAAAGGATACCCTGTTGTTGATCAGTATTGCAAAGAGCCGCTGAAACATAAGCCTAAATGTGTTTCTTATATGGTGGGAATCCTGTTTTTTCCTGACAAAAGTAAACTTAATTTTTCGTCATTTTTAATTCAAAGCACACTTTTAACTAGTACTCGGGGGGGGGGGGGGGGGGGGGGGAAGACAGTTACATAACAAATAGGAAGGAACAACTTCTTCCAAAAAGGATCAGTATGGTGGAAGGCACAAAGACAGGAGGAATAGAAAAAATAATAGAGAAATCAACATGATCTTTGCCTCGAAGTGACAAGCTCCAATTCTTTCAGCAATCTGAGTATACCTTGTGGACAGAGGTCAAAAATTCCTTATCAAGCATTTTATGACCAGAGAAAATTCTGCCACTCCTTTAAAAGCTGTTTGTTTGGTTTTTTTTAAAAAATATTCAGTTTAAAAAATAAAAATACTTTTGCTCCTTGCTTCAGCTTCAAAAGAATATTTAAGTAACTAGCAGACAGGACAGGTAAAGAGCTATAATATGAATAGGAGAGATAATTTCTCTTTCCGCTGAGAATTTCCAAAATAGTGATTCAACTTTACACCTTAAATCCATTTGTGATGAAAGTGAGAGTTTTGATATCGAATGTCCTAAGAAGGTATTCTTCAGGCTCCCCGGTAGTATGCCTCTCTAGGTCAACTCAGATCATCAAAGTACAGTACATAGTTTTCCATTTCTGAGATAAGAAAACTAATACATGCAAGAACCTGCACAGTTTGGAATATCTTGGCAGAGCATCTATTCATTTTAATCTGAAAGAGACTCCAGTCAAAAATACTGATTGCCATAGCCCATATATAGCAACACCGATGTCCAAACCACTCTGAAAAATGCTATGGGCAGTAGGTTTATATTGTTTTTCACAAACATCTAGCAAATGCAAGTCTTAGCAGTGTTTGATCCAGCTCCAAGGATGACTGGCAAACTGCTTCAGCATAGCTGAAAAATTTGCAGATGGGCAGATATTTCAGTAAAGACACAAAAGTTAGGCTTTTTTTTTGTTTAAAACACTACACAAATATATTTTAACACAGACATCTGGACTGAATTTTGTATCAGTCTCTCTTTATTGGAAATTACGCAATCTCATAAGGATACTATCACAGCAGACTCATTTTCCACTGTATATTTCACAAAAATAACTTTTCTAGTCATCAAATCTGCAGGTAGTGGTAACAATATTTGGAATATTTTGATATAACTCCCTAAAAGCCCAAGCTACTAGGCAAGCTGCTGATATTTAGAAATATTTCATTTTCTTATACGTCCTCGGTCTTTTCTTATTATTGACCCTAGTAACAATCTCATCTACCTCTTTCTTTGGCACACCAGTCTATTAAAAAAATCTCTATTTGATATACTTCACATTCCTTAGGTTTACACAATTTATTCCTGTAACTACTGAAAATCTGGTTTAACCCCTTAAGGCATCTGTGGAGCTACCACTATCTACAATACAAGAGATTAAATAGTAAAGTGCACATGTAAGGGCATCTTACATACATCACTGAAGCAGGTAATACACAATGTCTACTGGCATAATTTTGTCACACATAATACCAGGTCAAGAGCACAGTGAAATGCCTCAAAGAAAGGAATAAACTGGGTTGGGCACTGAATGCAAAGAAAAATTATTGAGCTTTTCTGAAGACTAAGAGGGCAGGAGTCTTCAAAATATGGCCAGGGGCTGGATGCAGCCCTTCAAGGTCATTTACTCAGCCTCCGGTCTAAACTTTAGACTTAAATCTAAAAATATTTGAAGGCACACAACAACAGCTATCCTAATTAACTTGACTATCTCATCATCCAAAAGCAGGCTCACACTTTCCACTGAAATATTAGTAAGTTTACGTTGGCGAAAATTGTTCTTCATTTCAAATATTGTATTGTTCTTACCATGTTTTCACCCCACTACAAATAAGACATGTGCAATGTGCATAGAAATTCATTCATGTTTTTTTAAACTATAGTCTGCCCACATAATAGCCTGAGGGACTGTGAACTCTATTTAAAAAGTTTTAGGACCCCTGCTTTAGGGAATATCGCTATCTCCTGAATCTCATTTCAGTTTAAAGCCACAGTTCTAATTAAAAGGAACCATAAAAACCACAGATCTACCTTAATGATGTTCATTCTTTATCCAAAGGGAAGGATGAGTCCTCTATATCATATTTTACCCCTTCCAACTGTTAAAGGAATGTTGTGCCTGAGAGCACCTCTCCAGCCATTTGTACCTGGGAGTGTGGGGATATGGGGATCCCCATCCTACTACTAAAAGGAATGGCCCTGAAATGCCTCCTTGCATGCCTGCTGTTTGGAAAGGGGAACAACAAGCTATACCAAAGGTTACACTGGCCAACATACATTTTGGTGCCTCAAATGTTAGGGCTATTTCTGCATATAGTCGACCTACTAATTCCAACAATGGCACCAGTTTTCCCCCATCAGCTCTAGATTTTGAGATACAGAACATATGGTATATACCAGCTGCCATCTGCTCACCCATAGAAAACCATGACAATCATATCTGAGAAAATAGAGCTGATGCAGTCTAGCCATTTTTTTTTTTACTAGTCATGTAAGGAGGATGGAGCAGGCATATCACAATAATGAATGCAGCCAATCTTGCAGCTTGCTTGAAGTGTGATCCCCTTCATCTCTTATATCTTAGCAAAGCAGCTTTCAGAGCCCCTGGCTGAAACCCGGGGGCAGAACAGCATCTCAACCGCAAGGAGTGGGAATGTAGGAGACTAAACTCACAGTCGATAAAGGCAGTACGTTTGGGGGAGATCTGGGCTACTGACTTGGGACCTGCTGGCACTGCCTGAACCGGCCTCCTTGTCAGAAGCAGATCTTGTAATATAAGCAGATACAGTCCTTCACATTCTTCTCCCAGAACAAAGATTCTTCACTCCAAGCTAAAAGCAAACAGTCTCAATTCTAGGGTTTCTCTGCAAAAATCTCCAGGCCCACATTCACTGTGACATTCTACTAGGTCTCAAATTAAGTTTGGCTCACAAAGATGTCCAACTAAAGGCACCACTTACCCATTAAAAACCCCGCAAAAAACACTGAAGAGTTCAGTGCTTGATTTTTTCCGTGCCCTAATTGATCCACGTGGGGAGGGAAAAAATTGAAATCTGTTGTTTGAAGATAGTATCAGAGTTCCGTAGGGTTCCATTTCATTACTGCAAAGGAGGTCAAATAACTGGAAGAGGGTAGTTGTTTCTTCATATTATGAGGAACAAAGATTCCAAAACGAATTTGCAAACATCCTGCTTGTTGAAGCAAGTGGGAGCTATTACCCCACTCTGAAAAATTTCCACTTACAGAGAAGAATTTTTCATGGTCCATTTTCCCATTTATTGAACTAAAAAAAATCAATCTACAAGCCACATTTGAGTTGCCAGGGAACATAATTGTAATGCTTTGTTGCAAGGAGACACACAGCTTTACATGTAAATCAGTATCATGCCATCTATTCTAGCCAATTCTTCATTAAATAAATAAGTATAATATAGTGGCTAACCATTTTGGAGCAGAAACAGGAATAAAAAATTATGGTTGTTGTTCTTATATTTCTTATATGACTCTCCCTATGGACTGAGATGGGAAACAACAGATTAAATCACACCAAAATAGACTTTTAACAACAATTAAACCCACAAACACTAATTAAAAACACAACCATCTAACAGAGCATACCATCAAGTTGTTGCTGGAAGAACTAAAATCAAATTTGTGCTCATCCATGCAGCTGAGTGATTGTGAATGAGCAATCAGACTAACTTATGTCACAGGACTATTATGTGGATAAAATAAGTTGACCCTTATGTATACTACCACCCCAAGATCTTTGGACAAAGAGCAGTGTACAAGTATGTCAAAACCTATTATGGGCAACAACTAGCAAATGCACACATCCCCTATTCATGCTGGGTGGCAGCATGAAGATTTATTATTACTTCCCAATCTATGATTGAGCTTTATTGTATTAGACCTTACTGGGTTTTCTATTTCTAATAATTGGTCACCCAACCAGATTGGAAGAAATGGTTCATTCAAAGCTGTTCAGCTGCAACAAAAATGTAAAGGACCCATTGATAAAAATTATGAGTGCTGTGTGAACAGAGTATACACACAGAGAGATGTGCCAAACGGAATACTAGACCCTGGGAACATACCGAGATTTACAGGCAGCAGGCTGAGAACGCTTAGAAGACATATATGTAAGATACAGAAGAGGAGACATGGAAAGACAGCATGTGCACGAACAGTACATAACCCTTTCTCCACAGGGCAGTTTACCATTAAACTGCCTGCGGGAAGGATCCTGAAATATTTCACTTCAATAGTGTTACACTTAAAATGTCATTGTTGCATTCATATTTTCACTGGTATGAAGATGTGGAAGG